GTGGGGCTGCTTGGCACATGGGGGCCGGGGGTGCCACCAGGAGTGACCAAGCACACAGCGGGCAGTACCCAGGCCCGGGTGCTAATTTTTGATTGGTTAACTAATCAATTTTAGCTAACCAATTTTTGATTAGTTAACTACACAGTTAAGTAATTTTTGATCTTTGACAACTATCATGTTTCCGTCAGAGAATGTGCTTGTTTGTTCCTAAGACTCCCGCACTTCAGTGAAGGGGGGGAGTGTTAGACCTGCAACTCTCGAGGAGAAAACAGAACTAGGGAAAGTCAGTGCACTTTGGCAAATCACAGCAGCAAGAGAATCTCAGTCCGCGTGGACGCCATAGAAGAATCCACACACCACCCTGCAACTTTACTAAGAGGGCTATTGTTTTTTGGGGGAAAAAAAATTTGTTTTAAGCCATACATGTGCCAAATTCAAAGTTCGATTTAAATGTGCAAAGGAAGTAAAGCATGAACGAAAGCACTCGCATCACAAACCGCAGAGGCAGCGCGGGAGTGCAGTGCATGAAATCACCTTCACGCTGAAATGCAACACCCTTTCCGAGGAAAGCGCCAGCCTCACACAGCTGCCGGAATGGCCCCGGGGCATGTGTCCACGCCCACGGGGCGGCAACCTGGGTCACCCGGGAATTCCCAACCTTCAGGCGGTCCAGAAACACGGGCAGCAACGAACGGAAACGGGCGCCACAGGGATTCCCACCTACCCAGCAGACTGCTTGTTCTGCTCAATTCTCTGATTTTTGCTCTCTCAGCTGCCTGTTACAGCGGAGGTCAGGGTGGCTTCTCGGGAGGGGAGGGGAGAGAAGGCAGCCCCGAGGGGGACACTGCGGCCACCCGGAAGGCCCCCGAGGCAGGCCCGGCCGAGTGAGGGCTGCTCCAGGCAGAGTCCCAGGCCTGCCCGTTGGTTGCCTTGCTCTCGAAGGAAAGAGTAGTATCGGGAGGAGACAATGGAGCGGTAAAACAGCTTTTAGTCAGAATGGGAGAGGGGGGGAGAGTGAGAGAGACAGAGAGAGAGACAGACAGAGAGAGAGAGAGAGAGAGAGGAAAAGTGCCTGCACAATGGCAGGTGGGGGCAGAGGGGGACGGTGGGGACACTGCTGGTGGGAAATGCACACTGGTGTGAGGCCGGGGGTTGAGACACTGTATGACTGAAACCCAAGCGCTGGCAACTTTGTAACTGTGTATCTCCCAGGGAGGGACGGAGGGAGGGAGGGAGGGAGGGGGGGAAGGAGGGAGGATGCCGACTTCTCCAGAAGTGCAGCGAGCCTCGCCAGTCTGAGCCGTGGCAGGGCACCCGAACAGGACACAGGGGGCCTCCGTGGTTGGCTGTTCGGGCTTCTCACCCGCGACCCCGCAGGGGCTTCCTGCTCCATTCTAACGTTACTGTCTGGGAACTCCCCACTGTCCCCCACGGGGGCTGGACCCGACAACATCCCCCCCACCCCGGCGCTGGATGCGCTTCTCTCCACCACGTCCCGCCAGCACAGCCTGTTCCCTCTACGCCTGACACGGGCCGTTCTCACGATGGTGTCCTGAGTCGTCCGGATTTGGATTTCTCTGGTGATGAGTGAGGCTGATTTTGTCCCGCAGCTCCTGGCCCTCCGCCTGCCTGTCTTCCTCTGAGGGTGTCTATCCATTTCCTCTCCCCATATGTTGATAGGGTTTTTGCATTTTTTTTGTTGTTGTTGATCTTCATAAGTACTTCATATGTCACAGAACCTTTAAGTGATGTGTTGAATGCAAATGTTTTTTCCCATTCAGTTAGCTGTCTTTTAGTTTACCCCATGTTTGGTTTTTGTTTGTTTTTTTTCTGCCATGTAGAAACTCTTTAACTTTATGTGACTTTATATAACTTTTATGTGACTTCTTTCAACTTTATATCACCTTGGTTCCATTTGTTTTTGTTGCTTTGGCCAGTGGGATCAGATCACTGAAGGTAACTTTAAGGTCCCAATCTTGAAGCATTTCGCAGCGTCATGAAAATCAAGGCGATCCCTGGGATGCCCTGCACGGACTATCTGCCAGCAATAAGTCCAGGGCCCCACTCTCTCCTCTGTGGGGGGCCAGGAGAGAGCTTTTAAAATGCATCAAAATAGACGCACAGAAACAGGACTCTTCCTGACACATATCTTCTACTTAGGAAGATTAAGATAAGTGCTCAGAAATAAAACACAGCAGCCAAAGCCTCCCGTTAGAAAGAGCATAGGGGGTATGGTGCCGCCAGCAGGTCAATCTGTACCTGTGAGGCAAGTGCATCGGCAGCCGTATGGTGCCTGCAGACTTCCAGACACCCCCAAATTGCTGCTGTGCCTTTGGCCAGACCCCAAAAACTTGGAGCAAAGTTTAGCAAGAAAGTAAATGGCCAAAAGTTAGGTATGTGGGAGACACACCCACAAACCACCTCAGGCTCAGTTATATAACCGGAGGCATTGCCTGATTCCTGATCAAACTGCTTGAAGGCCATGATCCCAGAGATTCAGAAACAAATCTCGAAACCCAGCGGCTTTTGGCAGAAAATGCGTCCAGTCCCTGCAGTAGGTTACCGGTGCTAGGCCAACCCAGGTGGGAATAGGTTTTCGTGCCTTGGCCTGTTCCCCTTGGCGGCCCAGTGGCTGCCATCCTCCAGAGGACACTGGACAGTCAGGTTTGGGCCCGCAGTGATGAGACATGCAGGGCCTCACGGGATGGGGGTGGAGCCGGCCCTTTCCTCCCCGTCCCAACAAGACCCTGAGTCACAAACGGCCTCTCTGGCTCCTGATCAAGCTACTTAACGGCCATGATCCCAGAGACTCAGAAACAAATCTCAGAACCCAGCAGGTTTTGGCAGAAATCCCTCCAGATTCAAGTGTTAAAATTTCAGAATTTCAAACTCGCGTGGCCACCACTGCAATCACGTGCAATCATGTTATTCACAACCAACAATAGACTACAAATTGTCTACGGTTGCTTTTCAGCAGATCTGAGTGTTGGGGTAAGATCCCAAATAATAACGGTGGGTGTGGTGTTGAAATGTTGAATGTGATCAAAGTAGAGAGAGAGTGATTTGGAGATCATCTGCCCACAGGTAGGGGGAAGGTGTGGGATGGAGGTACACTAGGGTTTTTGGGGGTGGAGAATGGGCGCTGGTGAAGGGACGGGCGTTTCATTGTATGAGCGAGACTTAGACCTAAAAGTTTTGTAACTGCTCTCACGGTGATTCAATAAAGAAAATTATAAAAAAAAAAAAGATGGAGTTCATGCCCAATTCACTCAGCTAATCAGTGGCTGAATAAATAGCAGTACTCCTACATAAAAAAAAAAAAAGAAAGAGCATAAAGCCCACTGAGAGAGATGTGAAGGCGCCGCCAGCTGGGCCTGGAGTCTGACCCCGGGCAACCCACCCACGTGCCGAGGGCCACCCTCAGCAGCTCCTCTCCGAGATGCCAGGGGTCCTGGCAGGGCGTGTGACACGGACTCCAAGGGGAGGGGAGGGAAGCCGCTCGGGGGTGATGCTGCCCACCGTGGCCGCAGAGAGCGGGAAGGCTTGAAAGCTGCGGCCGGGAACGTCATTTTTAGTACACGCTTTTAAAAACCAAAGTCTGTTTGATGTCAGGTCCCGTCTCGCCTTGCTCCGGCCCAGATGTCAGGCCGGTTTCAGAGAAGGGTAAATGATAACCTAGAGGCAGGGGCGTGGTGGGATGAGAGGCAAGGAAGGCTGTGGGAACAGCCTTGGGAAGATCTGCCGGGAGCCACTCAGAGGGGAAACACACCGGGAGGCCCGCATCACACCGCATCACACCGGGAACTGCACCAGGGACGGGCGGGGGGAGGGGACCGGGGGCTGGGGAGTGTCGCTCAGGGCCTCGGCTCAACCCCCAGCTCAGCCAAAAGGGGAAGAAATTAAAAAAATGTCTAGCCAACAATACTCAGCTGAACGCCAGGTTCAGCATTAATTCTGCCAGCGTCAAGGCTCCCGCTCAGACTCCGGGCCGGGCAGGCAAAGTCATTCTCCTCGTAAACATCATCCATCTACCTCAGCCTGGGCGAAATATTTATGAAGCTTCCAGAAGCCACTACGCTCCCCCAAACTCTGACCTGTGCGCCAGGCCGAGCCCATAGGAGGCTGTGCTGGGCCGGAGCAGCCGAGAGCCTGACCGTGGGCAGCTTACAGCTCCTGGCACTGTCCCCTCCCGGCCTGGGAAGCCCAAGGGCCTCGGCTCCCGGCTCTGGCTGGACGCACAGTCCAAGGTGCACCGGGCTCCAGGGTCCGGGGTCCTCGTGCCCCTGCACTGACAGGGGCGTAAGTGACGGGAGGCGTCCTGGGGAAGGGGGGGGGGGGGGCAGGAGCGTACCTTAGCCTCAAGTCTGGGTGCTGGACAGGGCACGCATGGACCCCAGCCCTGGGCCTTCCTTCCAGCCCTGCCTCCTGGGGTGCCTCCAGCACAGGGTGGGTGCGAGTGGACGAGAGGCAGCATCCCAGGCCCCACCTGGGACTCCAGAGGGCCCTGCTCTGTGCGGGTGTCCTCCAAACAGCGCATCCTCCCCGAGACCCGGGCCGGGCCTGCAGGGGGCCTGCCAGCCGGCTCTCCCCGTTGAGAGCGACACAGGGGACTAGCAAACACCAGGGAACTCCTGACTTGATTGTCAAACACGTGTCACGCTCCCCCCCAACAAAGGATCCATCCAACGCTCGCGGGCACGAGCCCAGGAGAGGAGGTGGTGACGACGCAGAGGTCTGGGCTCTGCCCGGCGACAGGCCTGCGTGCGAGGGGAGAGGACAACAGCTGAGCGCGGCCACCCTGGGCAGGGCCACCCGGAGCCCCGGGCCCTCCTCACCCACAGGGGGTCCGGGCACCGCTCACAGCTCGAGCCCCGTAGCGGCCGACGACGCGTGTGAAGCTGCCAGCACGTGCCGCGCCCGGAGTCAGACCCGCGACGGTTATTTCTGCTTCAACATGACTTTGAATACTCCAGAGTCGATAATTATTTTAAGTCACTCACCTGCCAAGTATAATCCTTCAGACTTTCAGACGGCATGGGAATTACAAGGAGATTCTGAAGAATAAACGCGGCCTGGAATCGAAGGGAAGAAGAAAAAAGCACAAATGTCAATGCTGCCATCTTGTTGTCAGTTCTGAAATAACCAATACATCAGGAGTTCGCAACCAGAAACGGCCCAGGCCAACTGTGCGCGCTGAGAGATGACAGAAACCGACAGACGGGAATTGATTTCAGGAGGTGGCCTCACAGAGATAGTGATTTCAGAAAATAAACTTTCTTTCTGATTTTAAAACTTAAAAAAAAAAAAAGAAAAATCTGTGTTTTGTTTGGTTGGCTCGTTTTGGGTCTGGGGGCCACACATGGTGGCATCTCGGGGCTCTGTGCTGGGGGGTGGGGGGGTCAGGATCCTAGCCAGCCGCTCCCGTGCCAAGTGCACACACACACAAATACACACACACACACAAATACACACACACACACACACACACACACACACCCCGTTCAGTTATTTCTATGATCCAGGATTTGCAAATCCTTAACAGCACTGAGACTCATTTCAAAATGATGCGTGGATGTTTCTCTTATTCCTTGATGGATTGTGGCCACATCTCTGTGGATAAATGAAGCTGACAAATGAAGAGAAAACTCCAAGTTTAAATTAGTGGAAAATATCAAAATGAGACGATGATCCTAGTGAATGGAGAAGATACTTGTGTTTGATGTTAAAAATACACAAAAAATCAGACCTAAAACTCAATTAAAAAAAAAAAAAGCAAATTAAACCCCTTGTTCGAATGAAAAATATTGGCAGAGGGTCTAAACAGACACATTTCCCCCTAAACAGCGATGGCTCATCACCTCTTCCCGGGGAAACGCAAATGAGAACCCTCAGACCCTGGTTCAATCCCAGCCACCCCCCACCCCACAGGTCCCTGGAGCCCCGTCTGCGGGGGAATGCTGAGGGCAGAGCCAGGAGGAAGCCCTGAGCACCGCCCAGTGATGGAGGGCGGATGAGGGAGACACATGCACACGGTGGGACGTCGTTCCACGATGCAGGAAATGATGCAGGAAACGAAACAAACCCAACTTCCCAGCTGCGGCCGGAGGGAGGGGCCAGGAAGGCACCTGGGACAGAGGGCGGCAGCGGGGCTCCCCCTGAGCCTCAGGGTGTCCAACACACAGGCATGCAGTATCGCAGGAAGGAAGGACACACCCTGGAGTCTGGACAGGCCGACAGCGCTGGACCAGGCCGCAGCTTATCCTGACATCACCAAGCACTGTCTGCTGACTGTTCTAAGCCCTTCCATACCAGCACCACTTGGGTGAAAGCAGTAATCAAAAAAAAAAAAAAAAACATCCATCATTCAGAAAGAACTGAAGTAAGGTTCTCTCCTCCGAGTGTGCCTGACCCTGCCCGCTTAGGGCCTGCAGGCATCCCGGCCCGTCAACACGGAGCTAGGCCGACTGGGGCTTGGGGGTGACACCCAGGGCTGCTCGGGGTTCCAGAGGCTGAGACCGGGTGGCCACATCCCAGGCGAGCTCCCTGCCCACCACACCATCACTCCCCGCCGAATGTGGTTTAGGATCTGCTTGTAAACAACAGGAAGACAGAGAAAGCAGATTCCAACACTCAAGCTGATGATCTAAACAGGAAAAAGGCCTCTAAGCTCTCTGTGAGCACACTTCTCTTCCGTACTACCACACGACTTGGCTTTTCAGGAACAGAAGAGATGATGGGCACGGTGAGTCCAGGGGACTCCAAGGGGTCAGCTGCTTCCCTCAGCAGCAGACACTGAAATGGGAGCGATTTGGAGGGGAGTCAAGCACCGTGGGAGATCGGCTATCACTGGAGAGGGGAGCTGCCTTGCCTGCAGCGACCCAGGCTCAATGAGAGAGAGAGGGGGGGGGGGGGGAGACAGAGAAACGGAGAGAGAGAGAGAAAGGGAGAGAGAGAAAATAAGAGAGGGAGGGAAAGAAGGAGAGAGAGGTAGGAAGAGAGAGGGAGAGGAAAGGAGAGAGGGAGAGGGAGGGAACGGGAGAACGGGAGGGAGGGAGGGAGGGAGAGAGAAGGGGAGAGAGATAGAGAAAGGGAGAAACAGAGAGAGAAAGGGAGAGAAGGAGAAAGAGAAGGAGGGAGAGGGGAGTGAGGGAGAGAGAGGGAGGGAGGGGGAGGGCGGGCCGTCCCCAGGGGTCCCGTGCCCGCAGACCCACCTCGCGGCGTGCCATGCTGCACTCGGCCTGGTCCAGCAGGATGCTGAGCACGGTTCCCCAGAGCCCTCCGGAAATGTTCTGGCAGCTGCTGGCCAGGGCCACACAGCCCGTGTCCAGGGTGGTCAGCGCCGCTCCCAAGGCCAGCGAGGTGAACCTGACCTGGGGAACGGAAGCCAAGGAGACGCGTCAATGCTCTGCGACAAAGACGGCCCCGCTTTAGGGCCACAGCTGGAAGATCCTAAATTAGGAAAAGACACTCGGAGAAGCACGATCCTAAGGGTACGAATAAAAAAGCCTGTCCAAGAATATGGACAGCGAACGTTACATGAAGGCCGACGCCACGAAAAGTCAGAACCGGGTGTCGATAAGAACAGCAACGCTGGCCGCAGGCTTGTGTCGGGAGCACTGTCACCCTGCGCTGAGGACACATACCCGTTACCTTCCTCTGCTCCCCTCAGGGTTCCAGTGTGTCCCCTAAATTAACGACTTCAACTTCCCGGAGCTGAATTACCCTTTTGTAAGGCACTTAGTACTTTCCCCAACAATCACTTGGAAAGAAAACGCTTCAAAAAAGACTGAGGTGGCGCAGAGCGCTTGCCCAGTATCCTGGCGAGTCTGCGGGTGTGCCGGCAGGCACCTGCATCGATTTGAGAACCACGTGGCTGAAAGCAGGTGACGAGAATGGACGTGGCCGTCGTCACCTGGTCGCACGGGAGCAGGCTCAAGGATTTTAAGGAACAGAACCTCGAGGTTCAGATAAAACACATTCTACGAAGGAAAGGTCGGGAACACAGAGCAGAACGGCTTCTTATGTAAAATCACTGGACACAGGCTCGGCAAGGGAGCTGAGCCCAGACACCCACCTTGCATGCAGCCGGCCCAGGGCCGATGCCAGAGACCCCAAATGCCCCCCGCATCCCCCCCCCCACACACACACACACACCAGCCCCGCCAGGAGTGATCCCGAGTGCAGAGCCACGAGAAAGCCCTGAGCACCACTGGGGAGCCCCAAAACCAAAAAAATAAAACAACTAAATAAAAGTGTGGCCAGGACCTGGGATCACACTGACCCCCGCGGGAGGACAGAGGGCACGCGGCCTTCCTTCCTGCCACAAAGCCCCGCAGGGAGGCGGGCAGGGCGCACGCTGACCCAACGCTCCAATGCCCAGGAACTAAAAGCTCCAACGCAGCTTCTTGCAACCAAGTCTCGACGGCGCAGTTCCCCAAATGAACAGGCAACTGGCGAAAACCACTGAATGCGCCAGGGAAACTGCACCCCGGGGGTACCAGGCAGCGTCCACCCGGCCCCAAGCATCCCACCCCCCGTCCTTCCTAAGGTGACGGACCCCAAGGTGCTGGCGTGAGTTCTTTTGGGGCCGTCTGGGAAGCACAGCGGGCAGTGCTCGGGGTAGCAAGATTCCGGGGTAGAGCAGGGGCGATGGCCACACCCAGCTGTGCTCTGGGGACCCGGCCCCTGGGTGGTCGCGTGCAGAGCCCACGCCAGCGGCTGTGCTATGGTGACAATTACTCTCGAATGCTGGTGCCCGGGCCCCGGAAGCCAGAGAGGAAAAGCAACACGGCCCTGGGAGTCTGACGGGGCAGGGACACTGCTTGGAGCCAGAGACTGAGAAGGGGCTTCCGGGAGGGGGTCAGGCCAGGTGAGGTCAGGCAGGGGGCCCTGATGGGCCAAGAGGGATCTCACCCCGGGAAGGCAGCTGTCGGGGGCCACACCAGCACCCACCCAGAGCCCCCTTGTCCCGACTGCAGTCCCAGACGCCGCGGGAATTGCAGGACAACTGTGATGGGCTCACACGCATGGCCCCAAGGCGCCCACCCGGCAGGGCCGGGCCATCCCACCTCATCCAGCTGTCACCCGCCCCCACCCGACCCGTGCCCTCACTGACCTCTGGGTCGCGGTCCACCCACAGGGGGATCAGCCACATGAGTCCTTGCTGGCCCGGAGCCTGGTCCTCCCCGGGGCCACCCAGCGGCAGGAACCACCGTGACATCCAGTCCTGCAAGGCGAGGGGACATGCGTGAGCCGGGCACGGGGCCCGCGCATGTCACACCCTTGGTTCTCATCCGTCAAGCAGTCAAAGCGGGGGCAAGGGAAATTCCCATTTCTCCTTCAAAGGGTGAAGAATCTTTCCTCAGAACAGCCGCTCTTTCCCGGGATCCCGACAAAAACGGAGCCCTCCGAGCACACAAACTTCCTTCCAAATCTGCTCCGAAATAAAACTCAGATGTGTGTGATCCCTACTGAGAAACACCCGAGTCAAAGAAACCAACATGAAGAGTCAAGAGGGAACGTTCCCAGGAGAAGCGCGACCGCCGGCGTGTGTCGGCGACGAGGACGGCGCAGGGCTCTCACCTGGGCCGGGGCCTGCGCCAGCATCTCGTGGGACAGCTGCAGCAGGCAGAGGACGGTGCTCTTGGTGACGCCCTTGCCCATGAACGACATGGCGTTCCCGCCGCGCTCCACGTAGAAGGAGGTCACCACCTGCAACACAAGCACCAAGACCCCGTGGAGCCCCCGTGACAGGACCCAGTCGGCACCCCCTACGGCCACTCTCTGGGGTCCTCTGCCAGCAGGACCCCGTCGGCACCTCCTAAGTGACCCCCTGGGGTCTCCCTGCCAGCAGGACCCAGTCGGCACCCCCTACAGCCACTCCCTGGGGTCCTCCGCCAGCAGGACCCGGTTGGCACCCCTAAAAGCAACCCCGTGGGGTCCCCTCACCAGCAGGACCCGGGATAAAGTGAGTCCTAGCCAGGGGCATTGGCATCCTGAGTTTATGCAGTGATCGACTGCGGCCACTTGTGCTTGACAATTCAAGCTGATGCTCTCAGTTGAAGTTTCAATTGTGTCCCTTTGTACAAACGATGGGTCGTATCCCCCAAGAGCCCTGTTCTAACTACATACTATGCATCAAAAAGTAAAACAAGAATGGAGGGGAGGGGAGGGGAGTGGATAATGTAAAAGATACAGGAAAAAGAACCAAAGCCCTGTTCAGGTGCCCCCACATTAAGGGGTTCCTAACAACAGTTCTGGAATTCAATCCCCCTTCAGTAGAAACTTCTAGATGCCTTGTTGAAAACATACTTAAAGAGCGAGCTCGCTAGAGGCTACAGATAGGCCGGCAGGTGTGTGCCTTGCACGTGTCCGACCCGGGTTTGATCCCTGGTATCCCGTATCCCCTACCAGGAGCCCGCCCGGAGCAAGCCCTGGGCACCCTCACCCCAAATGAGCTCGCTGTATAAATCTATCAATTAGGAGGGGTAGGTGGAACTTTCCGTTCTTATGCATAAAACATAAACACACGCTTCTATACTTCTGAGCAAGCTGAGATTCCTGTTCCACACGTAAGTGTATGTTTATTTATTAAAATAATTAGCTCACAACCTCTATATCCCCCACACAGAAAGGATGCGATGTATTTGTGCCAGGGCCAATAACAGGAAGATTTCCTCTCTGAAGGAATGAGCCCTTAGCTCCGACAAAGTAGAATGAACATGGGGAGTTACTCGACAGTATTTTGAGAAATCCTTTACTTAGATAATCCTTTAAAATAAATGACAAATGCTTTGGAACAATTCTGTATAATCGGTTTGTCTCCCACACAGGGGCTCAAGAGATCTTTGCGAACTGACTGAATCAAAAGAATATAGCTCTTCTCCCACAGTGATTCAACAAATAAATATAACAAAAATATATATATATAGCTTTTCAACTCTTAAAAACTTAAGCATATTCAAAAAGCCAAAAGATCACTTAAAATTCGCAAAATGTTAAGAATGCTAATTCTCTTCAGGTGCCCACATATTGCAAGGGAAAAACATCTGACGCGAGTTTAAATCGTCACAATGTTTTGCTACCTGACGAATCTAACGGGAAACATCTGATTCACGCCCAGGAGCTCCGAGTGCTTTTCCTCACCCCCAGACAGTGTAAGTCGCTTTTAATTAAGGTAGAGGAGAAGTCACACAGCCACGCGGACCGTTAACGGGAGCCGGCAAAAGTCATACAGCAAGTCAGGCCAGCAATTAATTTGCAGGTGTTTGGAAGGCTGAGCTCAATGAGAGCATCTGTAAACCAAGTAACTATAGACTAAGTGAAACAAGAACGGCGGGAGATGAAGGGGTGCGGGTAATAAGTATGAAAGATTCTGCAGGTTCTTTTCTTCTACTCATTCTCCCGTTTGCATGTGCTTGAACTATTTCATCACTGGAACTTTAACGCTCAAAAAGAGATCACGGGCCTTTGCAAGGGCCCGGAACAAGCCACACGCGGGCCGGCCTGTCTCCAGGGGCCGAGGGGCTTACCCAGGGCTGGGAGGGTCTTCTCCCCAGCTCAGGAGGGGAAGCCAAGAAGCTTGACTTCCCACTGTTCGACCTGATTATTTCCCAAACTCGCCAACTAAATTTCAGATACCTAGGCTTAATGGTTTAATAATAATAATAATAATAATAATAGTCTCCTCTCGGAGAGCCCGGCAAGCTACCGAGAGTATCTCGCCCGCACGGCAGAGCCTGGCAAGCTCCCCGTGACGTATTCGATATGCCAGACACAGTAACAACAAAGTCTCCAATGGAGACGTTACTGGGCCCGCTCGAGCAAATCGATGATCAACGGGAGGGCCTTTACTTTTCTAATAATAGTCTATCAAAATTAATCAAACTCAGTATAAAATTTTCACTCTGAACCACAGAAAAATGAAGCGTCTTCCAATTTCACTGTGCAGAAACAAACTACCTGACACTGAAACGTGGTCCCATGTGAAATCACTTCACTTAGTGAGAAACTCTGAAGTCAATCCTTTGGAGCAGCAGTGACTTTAGGAGGGGGAGGGGAGGGGAGGGGAGCGGGGAGTCCATTCATGTAAGCCCTACTTTGTAGAAGTGTACACTTCGTCACTCATCAAATTTTAAGAATGTTTTTCATTAGCAAGAAGTCACAGGTGAGATTAAATGAGATTCTACTACAAAGATGATCAATTTCGGGGCTGGAGTGATAGCACAGCGGGTAGGGCGTCTGCCCTGCATGCGGCCAACCTGAGTTCGATCCCTGGAATCCCATATGGTCCCCTGAGCACCGCTAGGAGTTAATTCCTGAGCGCAGAACCAGGAGAAACCCCTGAGCATTGCCGGGTGTGACCCAAAAAGCAAAAAAAAAAAAAAAAAAAAAAGATGATAAATTTCTTTGAACTAATTTTCTGTGATTTAAGATAAAGACATTTTCATTTCATTCCTTTTCATTCCAAGAAGAAAACGTGGAATGAGAAGCGCAGACTCCTTTTACACCAAGCACAGACTCCTTTTACACCAAGGGAACATCAGTTACGTTGTCCATAAGCATGGGACATTACTGAACAGGTGCTGTATTTCTGTCTAGGCCTTAGCTGACAAATCATGCTGATGTTGGTGTGGCCGTGCCGACAGAGCTGAACTCAGCTGGAGACGACGGCCCTTTGGCCTGGATCTTCTACCTCCAGGGCGACAAAAAGCTCGTTTTAATTCTGGCACTTGGAACACAGACAGGAGCTGAAATCTGTCCCCTTGAACAGTCTGAAGCGCGAAAGGACTTCCGATAGTTTCTAAATACGGACACGGAAACACTTCGCCGCTTCAGTCCCCGCAGCCTGCAGGCCCTCACGTCCCCCGAATCTGAAGCAGATGGAAACCCCTTTCCGGAGCAAGCAGGGACCCCAAAGGGGCGGACACACAACGGCCCCAAGGCCCTGGTGGCCCAGCCCACCCCGAGGGCCCCCTCCGCAGGCTGCATGGGCTGCTTCGACCCCATCGGCCCAGCACCGGCAGGCAAGGCCTGGAAGGACCCCAGTCAGTGAAGCCCCCTCGCCAATCACTTCATAAGGGTAGGATTTCTAAGTCATGTTGCAAGCGACACTATAAATGACTGAGCTCTGTTTCAGATTCATCAGCAGAGCTGACATTTTAAAAACTAATGTATGAGCCTCTAGCTAATGTATCCATTCTAAAAATGCATACATTCCTGATCATAAAAGACCTAGAAGTGTGAGAAAACTAATTAAAATACTGGCAGTGCACCCTTTGGTCAATTTTTATGATCATTCCAAGGAAAAATTTTACTAAAATGATTAGATTAAAAAAAAATCAGAACATTTTATAGTACAGAGATCATTATTGAGGATTTCTAAAATATTAAAGAAAAAAAAAAATAGGGCTGAAGTAATAGTCACACACACAGGAGGCCCGGTCCAATCTCTGCCTCTACGTTACAGTGCCCCGGACAGTGCTGGCTGCAGACCCCTGCAGGGAGGCCTGAGTCCTCCCTGAGCACTCCCAGGGGTGGTCCCCAAGAAGGAGTTTTAGGCCACAAATCTCGAACACATCATCCAGAGCACAGTCCAAAGCGAAACACACAAATCTACCCTGACGAGTATTCAATGATAGCCCTGTAAGAATGAAAGACACGCCACATCCCCAGGGCTACCTTCAAACCGTCTTCTCATTTAAAAATCGTCTGTAAGACATGTAGAAATGGAATTACCCACTATCGATTCACCAAGTACAGATCACCGAGCTAAAGTAACGAGGAGCCAGGAGACCGCAACGTCTGAAGGCGATGCTCACGGGCACAGTCAGTAAACAGGAACTGCAGCCGATGGGGCACGCGGGGCTTTCCGACGCCTGCAGGGCCCCACCTCGCCAGAGGCCAGAGAGCAAAGGTTCGAGTGCCGAGTCCGCCAAGGAGGCTCGGGAAAGGGACGCAGGAGGGCTTCACTCAGTGTGGCCCCAGGAGAAGGGGGAGACGCCTGTGTCTGTGTGTGCGTCTGCTGGGCTGGGGGCCGGGGTGGAGCCGGGATGGAGCAGGGGCCCCAGCCCCCAAAACTAACTACCCAGGCAGAAGAGAAACTCATGGATGTGGGAAAAATGGCAGTGGAGAAAATCGGCCAACTGTAGATAATAAAGAGCTTTTTCACAGTCACAGTCCTCCCGTTGTTCATCGGTTTGCTCGAGCGGGCCCAGTAACGCCTCCATCGTGAGACTTGTTGTTACTGTGTTTGGCATATCGAATACATCACGGGGAGCTTGCCAGGCTTTGCCGTGCGGGTGAGATACTCTCGGTAGCTTGTCGAGCTCTCCGAGAGGGGGCGGAAGAATCGAACCCAGGTCGGTTGTGTGCAAGGCAAATACCCTACCCGCTGTGCTATCGCTCCAGCCCAAAGAGCTTTCAAGAGAGTCTAATATAAATATTATAAAGATCACAAAGGGTTTTATGCACCTGAAAAAAAAGATGTGACGGAAGGTTACAGGAGAACGACCTGGCAGGAGGCGGGGCAACCAGGTCAGGGCAGCCCTGCCCAACCCCCCAAGGCTGGGCCTCTCCCCACCTCCCACCCGAGCCCCCAGGCCAGGCGGCCCCTCAGGAAGGAGGCTCCAGAGGGGGCGGGGGGCAGGAGCAGGGAATGCCCTCACCTGACAGAGAGCAAAGGAGCAGCCAGTCGGCGCCTCCGTGCCCCACAGCGCCTCGGCCCAACAGAGACCGCAGAGACCACAGGGCGCTCAGAGACGCCTGCTGGGGAAGCAGGGCCCTGTCTCTGGCCCCGAGGGGGCAGCGCTGTGTCTTTGTGGCCCCTGGCAGAGGCCTGGCTACCCGGACACTGGGCCCTTTCCTCTCCTGGGCTCACACAGCCACTCGGGCCTCAGCGTTCTGCCGACCCAGGATCAGATGGAGATGAGGGGCCGGGCCAGCAGGTTCTGCTCGTGAGGGCACGACCGTCAGTGCGTGTGCCGACTGAAAGCTTGATTAAGAAATCAAGGAAGGGGCTGGAGGGATAGCACAGCGGGTAGGGCGTTGGCCTTGCACGCGGCCGACCCGGGTTCGACTCCCAGCATCCCATATGGTCCCCTGAGCACTACCAGGGGTAACTCCTGAGTGCAGAGCCAGAAGTAACCCTTGTGCATCGCCAGGTATGACCCAAAAAGCAAAAAAAAACAAAGAAATCAACGAAGGCAGACGCCACCTGAACATACTGCAAAAAGACTCATGAGTCAAACCAAAAGGAAAGAAAATAAACAGAAGCAGAATCATTAGAAAAGGAGGAAATACTACGGAGATGATCAATCAAGCCGAAGGTTCCTTCTTCAAATAAACATGCAAGCTGCACACACACACCATCCATGCGACTCTAGCACACGCAGGATGGTTGGAAGAGAGCAACCGAGTCGTGGAAGGAAGGAGGGTCTCACTACAGGCACAGTCTATTTCAAAAATAAGATGTGAAGGATAATTATAAAGCAATAACCCTGAAAATTCACATCTAATTCTAGAAAAATATCACTTGCCAAGACTGACACACAAAAATGGAAAATCTGAATAAGAGTTAGCTCCATTTTAATATTCAATTCATCCACAATCTCCCCCCAAAAGAGAGCACCAGGCTCAGAGAGCTTCGCTATCAGATTCTATTAAAGATTTAAGGAAGAAATACCAATTCAAAGTCACTGCTTAGAGAGTTTCTAAAAGAAAGAACAAGAAAAGGAGAAAGTCATATGAGAAAAGGAGAAAACCGGGGGCAGCCTAGGAGCGGGGAGGGGCCTGGCCTGTCCGGGTCCAGCCCAGCACCCAGCACCCAGCACCCCACACGGCCCCCAGGCACCACCAGGAGGAATTCCCGGGAGCAGGGCCAGGAACGGCCCACACCCATGGGTGTGCCGCCCCCCAGCAAAAACCAAAAGGAAAGGAGTAAGTCACACACATGACTAATTTTGATATTAAAACCTGATGGTTTTATTTTAAAAGAGATATTCTAATAATTCTGAAAACACTTTTGCTTAAGCAAATAGAGGGAAGGACTCCAAAAACATCACTAACCCAAATGTGTCAGTGTAGAAAAAAAGAACACATCTTAGCCTCACTACAGTTTTTACAGAAATGCAAAATCAACACTTTTAATCGACACGATCTATCATTTTAATAAATATAGAAAAATTATGATTATCTTAAAAGAAACCCGGGGGGGAAGAGTCTGTTTTTTATCACTTCTATCCAAGTGTAAAGATCGCCATTTAACGAACAAGCGAGTGCAGACGGTCACGCTGGAAGGTGGCAGGCGACAGGCCTCTCCTCCCCACCGCTGGGCGCCGGGGGTCGGCGGGGGACAGACACAGAACAGCCACGTGACGGGGGGCTGCTTGGCACGCAGCCGACATGGCTTTGACCCCCCCCCCAGCACCTTATATGGTCCCCCGGGGCCTGCCAGGTGCAATCCCTGAGCACAGAGCCAGGAGTAAGCCCTGAGCTCCACCAGGTAAACAGCAAACACCCAGAGGCGACAGGAACCGAGCACTGGGCCACTCCAGCCTGAAGGTCCCACAGGGGCGGGGTGGGGACAGGATATGGGGGAGGGGCGCGGTGCAGGGACGGTTCCCCAGGAGCCCCACTGTGGAATATTCATGAAGATGCCTGAAAAAAAATGCATTTTTTGACCAAGTGCCTTTCCACATACCAGCAACCGCCATAGAAATTTGCTAAAGCTCTCACGTGCTCATCTTCCCCGACAACAACGCTCACCGCGGCAGTAACCCACCGGCCCTACACTCAAAGATGAAAAGCCAAGTGTCCCGTGAACAGCGCAGCAGAGACCTGGAGACAAACAAAACTGACCAACGCGACTTTACCCACCCGAGTGGTGGGTAAAAACCTCCTTGAGCAGCGTCCCAAGAGCCAGACCTGATGCTGCCTGAGTCTCCGAAAACTCGAGAATCACCGTGTCCACAGGCACGAGAGTCAGCAGTAGGGGAAGCATCCAGAAATGCGGAGGAGAGGGCGGGGATGGACGGACGGCCCGAGGGTTCCGCGGGTCCTCACCTGCCCATCGTCACTTAGGCTTTGAAGTCAAAGACTTTGTGTGTCGCTACGTGTCTGGCGGTTCACAAATAAAAAGGTTCGTGTACGTCCATGAAACACCAGATCGACCAGAATGAAGAGTCTTAAGCAGAACGCCTACGTTTATACTTTTCCTGAAACTCATTCATAAGAGGTTGACATTCGCTGAAGTCAAAACTCTGAGCCCCAGTGCAGTGGACAGGCAACGCGGCTGGCCCGGGTCCGATCCCCGGCACGCCACGCGGTACCTGAGCAATTCCTGAGGGCAGAGTCGGGAGTAACCCTGAGCACTGGGCGTGGGGGTGGCCCAGCACAAACGAGCCAACAGCAACGAGAGCCCCAACCACTCGGAACAACCCGCCGGAACAGCCCCGTCAACAGCCCAGGGAAGGTGGACATCTACAGTGCGCGTCCCCGCCTGGCCCCACCTGCCAGCGCTCCCCGCGCGCGCGGTTCCCGGGCTCCTCACTCACCTCCAGGAGTCCCGCCAGGTACTTCTCGCAGATGTCGAGGGGCTGCGTGTGCGGGGAGTGGGCGCTCCAGCCCGGGCAGGCGGTGAGGTGCGCCAGGGCGCACAGGGTCCTCTCGAGGGCCGGCAGCCCGTAGAAGTGGGGCGCGGCGCTGACCCGCAGGCGCTGAAGCAGCTGCAGGCCCAGCTGCGTCTGGAAGGCGCGAAGCAGCTCCAGGCACCTCCTGGGGGCGGGGGGGGGGGGGGGTGGAAGGCGGGGCGGGGTCAGGGCGGGAAGGCCGGCAGCGGCTCCCCCAAACCCCAGTCGCCCGCCTGGACACTTCCCAAGAACGGCTGGAGTTCCGCGTGGGCAGCGTCTCTGCAGCCGGGAGGAAGCCGGGGTGAGCTCTGTTCGCCCCCCAGAGGTGGCTGACTTCCAGGCAGGCACCGGGCAGCGTTTTGGGATCTGCAAAGGGGGCTGGGCCCTGCGGCCACAGGGCACCGAAGGGCGGGCGACAGGGCTCGGTGTGGCCACCCAGTGGGGGCAGAATGAACCGCAGATGCTAAGTGGATTTGCTCGAGCGGGCCCAGTAACGTCTCCATCGGAGACTTTGTTAACTGCCGCATATTAGAGTCTGCACCTTTTGTCACGCAGCATTGTTCAAAAATTGACATTCTGCCTAGCAGAGACAGCCCATGAAGCAGAGAGGAGGAGGGAAATAAAGAAAATGAACCTCAGCTTCAAGGGGTCAGAAGCAGAACGACGATCACGAGCACATTTTCTACAGAAAACAGAAACCCTGGATTACATAGTTAGGCGTGGATCTGAAGTTATGATTCCTGGAAGAAATAGTATCGTTGGGTAACGAGATATGGAGTGAAATCTGGATTTTCTTTAGTTTCACAGATATTCAGAGCCCAGAACGGACAACTACTGACTGTCTTTTACTATTCCACCAAAGCTCTAAGGTGTATATATATGGGAAGCATTTCTCTGGCTTGTTGGTTTGGGTGTGTCTGCTGGGCCTCACCCAGCGGTGCTCAGGGCGGAGACTGAAGCGGGCCCGTCCGGGCGAGGCAGGCAAATGTCCTACCCGCTGTGCTCTCTCCAGCCCCGACATGGGAACGGTTTCCAAGATCACAGTTTTAACAAAGCTGTCGTCTAGCTGCTTTTAAGACTTAAAACACAGACCTGACGTGAAGCATCAAGTTCGATTTTTCACCGGACGACAGCTGCGCGACCTCACGGCTGGCATTCAGGCTCCTCCCGAGGCTGCCACGCTCCCGGGGGTGCAGGGCCCCCAGAGGCCCCCCAGCACCACTGGCCGTGCGTTTCCGCCCACTGCCCCCCCCCCCCAATTCTTCCTGTTTCCTAAAGGGCTAGAAGGATCAGTGAGTCCAGAAAACAAGGCCCCAGGGACGGGCTCTGAGCGGTACCCAGGCCCAGAGGCCCTTGCTGCCACTGGTCAGGCCGCCGTTAGCCGACAAACAGGTCCTACGGCAGAGACTGCAGCCCTCAGTGAGGTCGGGGTAGGCGACTGTGTGTGCAGTTTCCCGTTTCTCAGCTGCTGGCAGAGGACACGTTTTTCTCTACCTTGCTCAGCGTCTGGTCTAATACCTTATTATTTAAAATAGTGCTGTTATTTATAATAGTCACTCTGCATCTGTGTCTAATGACGTTTTCTCTTAATTATGAGGTTTTCTTACTTTACATTGTCTATACTTATATATACCAAACATTTGTACAGGACAATTATATTAAAAGGGAAGGAGACAAGTAACTGCTCACAGACAAAGCCTGGACGTTGGTAACGTGTGATGGGCTGAGAACAACTCAAATGTCAACTAACGGATGAAAGGATGAATGAAAGGTGTTACAGTCATACGTGAGCTATGAGTCAGTCGTGGGGAAAAATAAACAGTTGTCCGTGTGGCTACGTAGGAAGGGCCTTGAAAACACACTGACAAACGACAGAAGCAACGCACAACACGCCACGGATGCATGATTGCCTTCGCGTGAAATGTCCACAACAGGGAACAAACCCACAGAAGGCAGGAACTGGGTGAGTAGGTGGGGAGGAAAGGACCTACTTAACGGTTGAAGGAGTTCTTTTTGAGGTTATCAGACATTCCGTAATGAGTGGCGATGTAACATCACTGTGAAAATAACCAAACCACTTCATAAATGGCATTTTTAAATAGTCAAGAGTGGATTTTTAAAGTTTTTCTAAAAAAAAAAAATCGCACGCAGATATAGATTTCAAAATCGCCAACGTAAAGATATTCAAAATATCACAGAAACGGGTATGATGAGCAGAGAGAAGTGCAGAAGCTCAGAGAGAATAAGAAATAAGCCTAGAAAAAGGGGGGTGTGTGTGTGTGTGTGTGCATTCATTCGTGTGTGTTTGCAGATGCTTCTGTGTGTGTGTGTGTATGTGTGTGTGTGTGTGTGTGTGTGTGTGTGTGGTAAATACCAACAAACTATTATCGGTAAAGTCTTCCCTCTTTTTAATTAAAAAAAAAAGTGGGGGGAGGGAGAACGCTGTGAATGCAAACCACGCCCAGCCACGTGGGCTGCCGGCCAGGGGCAGCGGTACCTGTCAGAGACGGCATCAAAGGCGAGCAGCAGGGTGTTGAAGAATGCGACCAGCTCCTTCTGCAGCTGCTGCCGGACGGCTGTCCGCACGTCATCTGTCTCCTCCCGCGCCTGGGACTCTGCCGGGACCAGCAGGTCTAAGAGGGGATTCGGACTCTAGGGAACAGAACGTACAAAAAATAGACGGGCTCGAAGGCCACTCCTGGCAGGGTTCCTGTTGCTGGAGCTACTCCAGGTCACCCGCGGGACCTGCCACCCCCAGAGCTCGCCGGACCCATCCCCTGCCGCCTGGCACCTGGGTCCGTTCTCCTGCCCACGCGCCCGCCCGCTGGCCCCGAGCCCCAAGAACGCCGGCAGCAGAGTGGGTGCGGAGGGGCAGGTACTTCTGAACACCAAGATGGTGCTGTTCCCGCTAAAGACATGAAGGTACATGCCCCCGTCCGTGCCAGGAAACCGGGATGCTGAGCCCTCCGACCCAAAATGAGGACGGCTGGACCAGGCAGGAGCCATGCACACGCTGCCTTTACCCGCCGCATCCTGCTGGTGACTTTTTCACAAACTCCCTGACACGCCTAACACCCAGTCCAGAACACTCACAGGCCGGAGCAGGGATTCCAAAAGCCAGGTGAGCAGCTGAACCGATGGATTCTTCCTCTGCTCCTTCAACAGCTTACTTAAGAAGTGCACAATGTCTATGAGCAGCTTCTCATCTTCGGTGCAAGCAGGAAGCACCTGGAGAAACCTTCAGGAAAGACGACAAGCATCACGGTTTCTCGTTCTTTCAATGACGGGCTGTGCCGATAAGTACTGCAGCACAGCCGAGGTGGGCCCAAGTGGCCAGGGAGTCGCCCCAGCTCTGGAGATCCACGCCTGCCACGCTGAGCACTGCACAGCGGCACAGGGAGAGACAGAGATGGGGCACAGACACTCTACTCTGTCAGCAGAACCCAACGCGCGGGCACCATCAAGAGGACACGCTCCTGGTGCCCAGCGCCCCGGTGACTGCTGCCCTTGGCGTGAGATTCACCAGACACAGCCCCCCCCCACACACCAAGACCCCACAACCCACTTCAGGAGCCTTGGCGCGAAACGGAAAGGAAGAGGATTCACTCGGGAGCCAAACACAAACCAAGCCAAGGGCGCCCAGCGGGGTGCTCAGCCCGGGGCAGTGCCGGCGTCTCGGCCGGCCTCCAGGCTCGCCACTGACCTAGCATGGTCACTTACTGTCACGGGCAAACAGGATCCCCCAGCCTAAGGGCCACTTCTGGGTGTGGGTTTCTGGTTCCTGGGGCCCCACGCCGAGTGCTGGGCGCTCCTCCGGGCAGTGCTCAGGGACACCGCCGGAAGGCCCCCAAGCCCAGCACCACTCGGCCCTGACAACAGGAATTACCCGACTGCCGGATGCAGGGAGCGTTCCTTCCACAATGCCGAGCTTAGGCTGGGATTTTTCTTTCTACGGAAGGTTTTTCCCGGCAGCAACACTAAGAAAACACGCTGAAGGTGAACCCAGGTCCGACCGCATCCCGCTCATCGGAACCAGCGGCCTCCGACTGCACTGACCTGTCCAGCACCACGTGCCAATCCAGCGACTTTAGTGTTGCCCCACAGCGACCACCGGCGTCCCTGGAGGACCACTTGTCGTTGAAGAGGTAGAAGCTCATCCTGGTGACGGCCGCCCGCACCTCCCGGTGGACTGCAGCCTGAGAGATGGCGCGGACGCAGTCCTGCAGGCCAATGGCCGTGTGCGTGGCCCTCAGGGCCAGGGCGTCCTCCGCAGACAGCCTCAAGGCACCCAGGAACCTGACGCAGGGAACAGAGAGTCACCTCGGGCCGCCTGACGCCCGGGGGGCCGACACTGAGGCTTCTCGGGAGCGAGCCCCCACAACGCGCGGGCCTTTAGCGAATGCACAGCCCAGAGTGGAAAAGAGAAGCCCGCCTATCTTCAGAAACGACAGTTCCCCGACCCGCCAGCATTCAGAGGGACGTTTTCCTGCCGACAGAAATACCATTTTCACTCAAATCAGGAAGTACTGGCAGTTTCGAGTACGAGGCTGTAGAAAGGAATCGACCTCCCTACAGCCACGGTGATGAGCACACGCGTGCTCAGGCTCACACAGTTCCAAGCCCAGTTTGGCAAGCTGCCGTTGGACGGTGCGGGCCATGAACTAGCCGCGCTTAAAATGACCTGACTCAGCAAAAAGCATGATGTGTTTTTCTCTATTTCCCTGTGCAATGGTCTAATGAACTGTGTAACCTTTGAAACAAAATAGAAGCAGAGATAAACAAACGGGTCCATGGAACGGCTTCCGCACCTCAAGTGAAACAATGACCAGGAAACAAAGACAACCCAGGGAACGGGAAAAATTATGTAGCCAACACCCATCCGATAATGGGTTAATATCAAAGATAGGTAAGGCAGAACTTTAAAAAAAAAAAAGAAAAAGAAATATACACCCAACCCCATCAACAAATGAGGAAAAGAAGTGAAAAGAAACTCCCTCAGAGAAGAAACAGTCTACTTTCACAGAGGCGGGGTGGGGGAGGTGGGAGGGAGACTGGGACCATTGGTGGTGGAGAACGGGCACTGGTGGAGGGATGGGTACTGGATCACTGTATGACTGAAATGCAAGCACGAAAGGTCATAAGTCTCTAACTGTACCTCCGGTGATTCACTAATGAAAAACTGAAGAAAAAAAAAGAAAGAAGAAATACAAATGGCCAAAAGGCACATGAAAAAATGCTCTGCAATCCTAAACATCAGAGAGATGCAATAAACGCAGCGATGCGGTATCATCTCACATCACAGAAACTGGCACACAGCCAAAAGAACAAGGACCACTAGTGCTGGCGCGGACGGGGGGGAGAAAGGGGCTCTCCTTCATTGGGGGGAATGCCGGCTGGGCCAGCCTCCGCGAAGAAGAACACAGGCATTCCTCAAGCGCTAGAAATTGAGTTTCCATGTGACCCGGCACTCTGAGGATATAGCCTGGGGGGGCCAAAAACACACAGCAGACATGCCATCTGCACGTCTACATTCACTGCAGCACTGTTTGCTACAGCCAGAGTCTGGGAACAACCCGGGTGCCCGAGAGCAGATGAGTGGGTAAGGAAACTGGCACAGCTCCACGATGGAATACCACGCAGCCATTAAGAAGAAAGAAGTCACGAAATCTGCCTATAAGTGAATGGACGCGGAGACCATCACGCTGAGTGAAATGACTCAGAGGAAGGAGGACACACGGAGAGTGAGCACATCCCGAAGAAATCACCAAGGCAGTAGAAAGGAGGCCCAGGAGGACTGGTCCATGCCAGGAAGCTTGGCACAAGTGTGGGGGGCTTGGGCGGGGGGGGGCAGTAATGTCAGAGAAGGGACCACTATGACGTTGACAGCTGGAAATAATCACTGTGGCTAAGAGCTGGGTGACGGAAGGAGGTTTAAAGGGACAGACAGGACAACCTTTCAGTACCAGATTTGCAAACCAGAATGCCTAAAAGGAAAGAGAGAGAGAGAGAGAGAGAGAGAGTGTGTGTGTGTGTGTGTGTGTGTGTGGAGAGAGAGAGAGAGAGAGAGAGAGAGAGTGAGAGTGTGTGTGTGTGTGTAGAGAGAGAGAGAGAGAGAAAGAGAAAAAATATCCACCGCTGAGGCAGGCTGCGGGGAGGCAGGAGGGAAACTGAGGCACCGGTGGTGGGAAAGCACACCGGTGCAGGGACGGTGCTGGGACACTGAGTGACTGAAACCCAATCAGTCACAGGCGACTTCCTAACTGTGTATCTCAGGGATTCAATAAAATAAAGGGGGGTGGGGGGGTGAGGATTACACTCTGCTATGACGAGAAGAGCACACGCAAGGCTAAGGGTCTGCCGCCCGCCCGGGGAGAGAGGCCTGGGGGTCGGGGGCCGGCGGGGTGGCCGGGGCGGCTCACTCCGGGCGCTGGGGCTCCGAGTCGAGCTGCTTCAGCAGGTTCTCGCTGCCGCGGTACCACGCGAGGTTCCAGGCGAGTCGCAGCATGTCCGAGACGGGCTTCGAGGCCAGGCAGTCGGCGGAGAGCGGCAGGACGATGGCGTAGGGGCTCACGGCGTGGTGCCCCAGGACGTGGATGGGCAGGTGGTACCTGCAGGGAGCGGGACCCCAGAGTCACCGACTGGGGCCTCAGAGACGCTGCCCGCCGGCTGTGCCACGAGCCAGCAACGCAGAGCGCCCGACTCGTGGGCACGCTCCCGCCGTAGCCTGGGCCCTCAACACCCGGCATGAAACCCTCGCCCCAGGCAGAGGCTCTGCAGAGCTAATGGCTGCAGCCTGGCATGGGGGGAGCTACCACCCCTCAACACCAGGCTCCGTTCCCTCGCTCCAGGTGCCGGTGCCCCGACGAGCACTTCGGAGGGGACCACTGCGTCGGACAGACACCGATGCACGCAGGGTGCTCACGGGGCTCCGTGTGTTTCGCAGGCTCTTGGATTTCAACCGAAACCATTCCTTCCTAAAAACTCCAAAGAGCCACGAAAACCAAAGGCAGTTACGTCTTTTGACTGCACCCTGCTTTTTTTTTCTTTTCGGGTCACACTCCGCAATGCTCAGGGGTTCCTCCTGGCTCTGCACTCAGGAACCACTCCTGGCAGCGATCAGGGGACCCTATGGGATGCTGGGAATCGAACCCCAGGTCGGCCGCATGCAAGGCAAACGCCCTCCCCGCTGTGCTACCCCCCTGACCTCCTGCTCGCCCTCCAATGCCGCACTGGGGGCCTGGTAGAGAAATGAGGTCACTATGACTGAGCCGGGGCTCATTTCCTTGCTGTGAGAACGGTTGATGCATCAGCTGTGAAGGAGGATATCGCTGAGGAGGGACACGGTGAAGCCGTTAGGAGGCAAGTCAAATTTTAACTGAAAAACCTTTTCAAGCGGGTCGAAAAAAACACTTATGCCTTATCTATAACATAGGCTATAAATGCACGTGCTAGAGGACTTATGTAGAAACGATGTGCTTTATGTGAGTTTATACAGTTACAAGCGGATACGAAATGACACGCACATCATATCTGTCCACAATTAATACATCTATACAACGAACAACCTACATTCCGCTTTCATTGGAGAGCGAGAATGACAGGACACTTGAGTCAACAGACCTACCGTCAATGTGCTGGGCAGGAAAGGGAGCGACCCTGAGCCTCGGCGGGGCCTGGAGGGGGGCGGGAGGGCCTGGGGCGTCTCTAAGCGGCCTTGAGGCTCTGCCCGGCCTGAGCCACACGCAGCCACAGCTGCCCCGCGGGGACACCTCAAGAGAAAAGCCCAGTGACGGCCGGGGGTCCCTGTCGGACACTCCACACTCTCCGGAAAGCAAAGGAAGGAACATCTACCTCCTTTTTTCTTTTGCATTTGGGTCACATCCGGCGATGCTCAGGGGTCACTCCTGGCGGTGCTCAGGGGACCCTAGGGGATGCTGGGAATCGAACCCAGTCGGCCGCGTGCCAGGCCAACGCCCTCCCCGCTGGGCTATGGCTCCAGCCCCGGACCATTTACCTTCTGAAAACGGACACAGGCAAGCTGAAGACGGCGGCGGGCGCGGGCGTGGGAGCGTCGGGGGGCGGGTCCAGGGACCTGTGGGTGGAAGAAAGGGCAGCTGGGTGGGTCCACACGCGGCCCCACGTGCCTCGCCTCACGCCTGGCCCGGGAAGTCCGCCCGGAGCTGCAGCTGCTCCTCCTGCCAGGGAAATCTTTTCTTGCCCCTTACTGGACAGGACAGGAGGAGGGAGGAGCTGCCCCTACCGCCGCCATCATTTTACCGTGACCGACCAGGGTGACCAGCCCTCCCTCAACGGACATGGGGAAGCGGCCACTCAGAAACAAGCCAGCAGGAAACAATGTTTCATTTTGTTGTTTGGGTCCCACCGTGTGATGCTCAGGGGTCACTCCTGGAAGTGCCCGGGGGGCCCTAGGGATGCCGGGGAGCGAACCCGGGTGGGCGGCGTGCAGGCGAGCGCCCTCCCCGCCTTGCTACGGCTCCAGCCCCCGAATGTGTAAAGCGCCCAACTGGCGGCGTGAACGAGCTCAGGCTAACGGCACGCTGCCGCTGGCCGTGGCGTGGAATGGACCCAGCTCCCCTGCCGCGGCTGCCCCGCACCGGCACTGCACCGGGGGGCCAGGCTCAAGGCCAGGGGGATCGCGCCCCTCCCGTGCTTTTGAATATTCAGGAAAGGACACAGAGCTGAGAGTCCGGACCAAAACATACACAAACAACAGGAATCACAACAGTCTTTTCAGACTCTGCACTCGGTCAAAAGGAAGTTTTCGGGGCGGTGTGTTTAATCAACGTCCATTTGTAATACTGCTTACGTGACCAAAAAAGAAGGAAGTATGACACTGTTATGTCCGCAACACACGAACCGGCCCCAGCAGAGAGAGACCTCGGGGCACCCCTACGACGCGCCTCCGAGGGGCCCTCGGCCGGCCGCCGCACGGAGCAGAGGCCGGGAAGCCCGCGCTTACCACACGTCCATTCTCGAGACTTCGTCAAACAACAGGAGACAAAACAGAGCTCCGACTTCAGTCACGACAGCACTGTCTTCGTGGAAGATCAAGGAGACTGCAAAACCAAAGGACAGCGCACACGCTGCTGAGAGGAGGCAGAAATGAGAAGGACTTCGAGGACGCACCAGCCCGGGCGAAGGTGGCCGGCCGGGGAGGCGAGCTCAAACGTGAGCTCACGGGCGTCCTCGGAACAGCCCCGGCCTCAGGCGCCACACCACACCCTGCAGGCACGGGGCCACACCGGCAGGCCCTCTCACTGGCATGGCCCGGGTTGGCGGCATGTCTGTGTCGTTCCCTGCGACTGACCCGCCGGGCGGGGAGAAGGCGCCACCCGCCCAGGCAGCCCCAGAGACGAGTCAGCCGGGGAGCTGGGACAGGGAGCACGCGGCACCGTCCACAGCTACAGACCCCGCTGAGCTCCACAAGGGAAAAGGGGCACGGCGACCCCCCCGGCCCGTGCCCGGCCCCTCAGCCAGGCGCCTCTGTCCTCTGCCCGGAGCAGGGTGGCCAGAGCAAAGCCAGAGTGAGGAGAAGAGGCAGGAAGAAGCCAGCGACCCGCACGGCCTCTCCTGGGAGACGACAGGGACTGAGCACTAGCGGGAGCAAGGGAGACAACGGGGGCTGAGCACCAGTGGGAGCACCGAGAGCGAAGGGGACTGAGCACCAGTGGGAGCACGGAGAGATGGAGACTGAACGCCAGAGGGAGCACCGAGATATGACGGGGAGTGAGCACCAGCGGAAGCACAGGAGACGATGGCAACTGAGAGCCAGCGGGAGCACTGAGAGTGATGGGGACTGAGCACCAGCAGGAGCACGGAGAGATGGGAACTGAGCGCCAGTGGGAGCACCGAGACATGATGGGGGCTGAGCACCAGCGGGAACACGGGAGACGACGGGGACTGATCACCAGCGGGAGCACGGATGCCAGGGCCAGGGAGCTCAGCGGCAGGGCTGCCCAACAAGGGCCACAGTCCCAGCAGACCCCTGGTCCTGCCGTCTAAGGGACAGCAAGGGTCACGCCGGTGAGGCAGGAGCCAGTGAGTGTGCGGGTGGGGGGGGGGGGGGGCGGTGAGTCAGACTGACCCTGACTCACCTCGGAGCAGAGCGGTCAGGAGAGTGGGCTGTTGAGAGAGCGAGAGGCGCAGGGCCCCGTCGGCGCACAGGACCTTCCTCAGGAGCGTGAGGCTGGGCGGCACCAGGCACTCCAGCAGCTGCGAGGGAGGAAAACACAGCCTTAGTTTCCCCTCAGCGCTTCCCGGCTCAGAGCAGACACTGCACTAACTCAGCGCAGAGCAGAGACACTGTATGATCTCAACTCAGAGCAGACACTGCACCAGCCCAACTCAGAACAGAGCCCCTGCACCAGCCCAGCGCAGAGCAGACCCTGCACCATCTCAGCTCAGAGCAAACTGCACTTATTTCTCTGCTCTCTCAGAAAAGTTCCAATTTTAGTATATGTGCTGCCGAAGCGGGCTGGAGCGATAGCACAGCGGGTAGGGCGTTCGCCTTACAAGCGGCCAACAGGGCCGACCCGAGTTCGATTCCTCCGCCCCTCTCGGAGAGCCCGGCAAGCTACCAAGAGTATTCGATATGCCAGACACAGTAACAACAAAGTCTCCAATGGAGACGTTACTGGGCCCGCTCGAGCAGATCGACGATCAACGGGAGGGCCTTTACCTTTTACCCTTTACCTCATGAAAAGTATGCACCTAAGACCTAAAACACACACACTGAAAATGACTCTTCGCTGAAATAACAATCATGGTCCTTGTATTCTGTGCTGACATTTCTTACACAAATTCCAAGATTCTTTTTTCTTGATAAAGACCTAACTTCGGGAATTTGAAAAAATGAGCAAGATGGTGGGTGACACTCCGGACCCAAGTGGCCTGCCGCATCCAGGTGACTGCCCCTCACCTGTGATCCCAAGACAGAGGCCCACATGGCACCGCGGCAGCAGCCTTGGGGGTCTGGGCAGATCCCAAGCATCCCCCCAGCCGAAGCACCGCACAGAAGCGCCCACGTCTCACCTTGCCATCCCGATCCACACATTCACTCAGATACTCGAGTATCTTGTCAATCAAGCACGACTTTTTCACCATACTATGCATTTTAATATCTGCGGACAAAAAGAGGATCAAAAAAAAAAAAAATCAAGCCACGGTTCTTAAACACAAAACATTCACACTCCTCCCAAGCCCGTCAGCAGGAGGTCACACACACCATGCGAAGAGGAATGTTTCGGACTAACCCGAATACGAAAACCACAGGACAGCAGAGGGAACCTGACTCGTCGTTCTTAAGAATAACCCCCTGACGGAAACACACAGGTACACTACATCATCTTTCATCTGCCCCAGAAGTACTGTTCGACTGGCTTCTGAAGCAAGATGACATCAACGGGAGCCACGGTGCACTGGGCATCGGAGGCCGACGTGTGGTTTGATTCCCGTGAGCAGCCGGGGGAAAATCGGTCTCACCAACGACACGCTCCAGGTCGGAGACAGGCAGCGACTGACCCTCACACCCGAAGGACGGTTCCACCAACAACGTTCTCCAGGGCTAACGATGACCATCCCCGCCCGCCCCCACCCCCGACCATCCATTTCCCAGCCAGGGAAGAGTGTCCCTGCTGTGGGCCCCAGGACACCACAAGGGGAACAAGAGGTAAAAACCGTCCAAATGGGGGGTGGGCACAGCACAGGACGAGGGAGCAGGCGGCGGGACACGGGGACACAGAAAGTAAACCAAGTGGGAAGCGGGCCACGTGCACGAAGGATGAGGAACCGGAAGCAGCCCCTGACCGGCACCTGCTTCCATTCCACGGCCTGGCCCAACCCCCAGCCCCCGGGAAACTCAACTCAGCTAGAACTAAGGCCACGCCCCCCCTTCACACACACACACACACACACAGAGCAACGCAGACGGCGGCCCCCTCAGACGTCACCTTGCAGGATGACCGCTAACTGCTCGGCCGCCGACTTTCTCACGACGAGATCCACGTCGTTCGAGACGAAGATGCCATATACCTTCTCAACTGTCTCCACCTGGGAATTGGAAAAGAGAAAGGAATTTGCCGTCGACGTCGGGATTCGTCGAATTCACACCTTATTCCACAAGAACAAAAGCTGAACCGGCAAGAGACTGTTCCTGAAGCAACAGTCTCTGCGGAGCCGCAGCAGGGAGCTGGGGGCCCTGGTGGGCGCGGGGTCTCGGCCCCGGAGCTGCAGTGCACACAGTGGCTGGGGAGCCCAATGGGCTCTACCTGGGACCGTGAGCATCACCTGTACCATCACCTGCATCATCAGGGGGCAGAGAGCACTACACATAGCCTGAGCACTACCAGGGGGCAGGGAGCACTGTGCAGAGTTCGAGCACTGTCAGGGGCAGGGAGCACTGTGCACGGCCCCAAGCCTGGGTCCTCCCTCCTCTTCACCCCCGCCACACCCTGCAGAGAGAGAGATACTCGGGAGAAAAGTGCTCCTGCTCCTTTCCACCCCCAGTGTCTGGGGACGACACGGGACAGCGTTCCGGAAACGCAGGCGCGACCTGAGCCCCATCACCTTGATGATGAGCTCTTTCCGGTCGTCCAGCCGGAGTTCCAGGGGCCTCCTCACGATGAACAAATCCGTCGCTCTGGAGAGAAGCCGGGCATCGACCAGAGGCCGCTTTCCCTCGGCCCCTTCTTCCCGGGCAAGGTGAGTCGCCAAGTACTTCAAGGCGAGCAAGCGCACGCTGGAAAACAAGGGCACCGCCGAGAATGCGCTGGCCGCGCACTGGGCGACGCGCGGGGAAGCCCGCGGTTCCGCTGGAGAGCGACGTCCTGCACTGCGGAGGGAAGGGGCCGGACTTCCCCATTAAGGTAGCTGGGTTCTAGTTACGACCCTGCTTGTGATTCCAAAGTGAGCCCTGGCACCGAGAGCCGGCCCCAGTGAGCAGACATCACTGCCGACGGAGGGAAGGGACTCGGCCAACAGAGCCCGTAGTTGTGAGTTCAAAAACAGCGACCGGTTTCCTGGGGAACATGAAAACATGCCCCGTGTGTCCCCATGCGAGGTCCAGCCCGAGGGACGCGTGAGAGCGGGGGCCGTCCAAAAGCCTTCAGGGGGTCCAGACGCCTCTCCAAGAGGGAAACACAGAGGCTGCCGAATCTCATCAAAATCCTACTTTCCGTGCAGTGGACAGACGCGGGGCCACGGAGCGGGGCGGGCACCCAGCTCCAAGGACAGAGCAAAGGCGGCAGGAGAAACGCAAGACGCCACAGCCGGCCCAGGGCCTGAGTGAGTGCGGGCCACTCCCGGAGGCCGGTGAGAGGCCGCCCTGCGCGTCCAGGCCCGGGCACAGCCACGCTGGGGCCCCCCCGGGGAAACCCATCCCCCAACTGAAGGGCAACTGCTGTCTCGCGCGGCCGCGGACTCACTTGGGCTTCCTGACCAGCAGCAGCCGCAGGATGAACTTGAGCCAGACGGGCGGGGGCAGGACGCCGCCGCCCGCCTCGGAGCTGGCCTTGCTCAGGAGGAGGATGCAGCTGCCCAGGGGGTCCTCGGTGTCGGCATAGCCCTGCGGCGACACACGGGCAGAGGCCCGAGGGGTCAGGAGCGCAGCACGCCCTCCACGGCCGAGCCGGGAGGAGAACCGCGCTGGCCCCCGGGACGCTCAGGAACGCCTGCAGCTGAGCAGAGGGGGCGCGGCTCAGAGAAGCGCCTGGGCAGGCCGTGGACAGCCGCAGCGAAGGGTCAGGGCAATGCTGAGGAGCGGGGCAGTGCCTCCCCCCACCTGCGGCAGTCACACAGTTACAAACAGGAGCGGGCCCCAGCGACAGCACCGTGCAGGCAGGGTGTTTGCCTCATGCTCAGCCAACGGGGTTCGTTCCCGGGCACCCTGCCTGGCCCTCTGAGCCCCGGCAGGCAGGATCCCTGAGCACTGAGCCAGGAGTAATCCATGAGCACCAGTAGGTGTGGTCCAAAGAAATGAGTAACAATAAAACCAGGCAACAGGACACTAGAACAAATTAAAGCGCATTTTCAAATTAAAACCAAAAAAAAAAAAAATTAAACTACAACTAAACTGGGCAAGTGAGGAGATACACGGACTTGGAGGCCGAGTCCCGCCCTGGGTGTCTGCTCCAGCCCCTGGCGCTGGTTCTCCTGCCTTCCCGCCTTCCCTCTCCCCCGGAACCCGCCCGAGCTACCTGCAGCACCGGGATGACGGGGCACAGAGACTCGATGAACCTGCTCCAGGTGGGCGCCGTCATCATCAGCCGGCCCTGCAGCAGGTACGTCAGGATGGCCCTGGCCGCGGCCTGCACCTGCGCAAAGCACACACAGGGACTCAACGGGCACGGCCCCAGCCCCGGCCACCCCACCTCCCCAGGCAGCAGCCCGCACCCGCCACCCGCTGCTTCTCTACGGCAAAGGGGGTCGCGGGGAGGTCCTTCAAGAACAAGTATGTCGGGCCGGGGCGACAGCACAGCGGGCAGGGCGTTTGGCTGGCACGCAGCCGACCCGGGTTCGATTCCCAGCATCCCACATTATCCCCCGAGCACCGCCAGGAGTAATTCCTGAGTGCAGAGCCAGGAGGAACCCCTGAGCATCGCCGGGTGTGACCCAAAAAAGGAAAAAAAAAGAGAACAAGTATGTCACTGGTCTGGATTCCCAGGTTTTCTTTGTAGTTTCTTTTCAAGAACGCTTCATGGCCAGAGAAACAGCACGTGCCCGGCACACCGCTGACCCTGGTCTGCAATCTGGTCCCTCCACGGAGAGCGCCGGGAGTCCCAGGGCCCAAGCACCCTCCGCCCCGCCAAAAGACCAAACCCACACACCACCCCCACGACTGCAGGCGCAGAGTCAGGCTACGTTCCCATCAGGCTGGAAACTGTCTCGTGGGACGGCTGCCTGGTCTGATGGGCCGAAGGGGCGCAGCCGCTCCGAGCGTCTCCTTCCCACCTGCCGTACCTCGTTCTGGGGTTCTTGGAGGCCAAATGCAGAAATCTCATAAAGGACTTTCGGGTGGAGGAGAAAATGAATCCCAGTACAGAGTGACGACACGGGCTTGCTGACGTTATGGATGCCTAAGCACTCCTGGAAAACAGAACAGAGTCCTTGTAGAGGACAGAGAGGCAGTCCAACGCACTGATTTTTTCAAAGGCGTCTTTGTTCTATTCCAATTCCAGGATTTACTACCTTGAAACTTTTCTCTTACTCTATGTGAGACAAAAGCCTACGAAGTTTTGTTGAGTAAAGTGAAGTACAAGCAGGAGATGAAAATGGCTGTTACAGTGATGGCTGCTGAGAGCGAGCCCCGGGCACTGCGCAGCTCAGTGAGGGGAGAAAGGGTGTGTCGGTTCCCGGGGAGAGGGGGAGAGGGCACCCACACCCGCACCCACACAGGCACGCAGCAACCCCAGCTCTGGGCGTAAGCGATGGCAGGGGAAGCCAGGAACTGCAACAGACACCTGCAACCACGGCGCGGGAAGCTGCCCACGGCGACAAGGAGGGGACAGGGTCGGAGACTGGACCGGTGAGCAGAGCCCCTGCCTGGCGCCCGCCCCACCCATGCCCCAGAGCCGCCAGGAGGAAGTCCCGAGCTGACCTCAGCCGCAAAACCCGAGAGGGCGGAAAGATAAAAGGCAACTGCCCAAGTGTCCACCTCCACGTGAAAAGGTCAAATGTGGTAAACACAAGTAAACACACATATCAGTAATGATGAAATTACTTCAGTAATGAAACGGATGAAACGGTCACCATCCTACGTGTGACAGGTTAAGCTTCGGTGATCTTCAACGACACAGAAAATGAAGACTTGTTTCTGCAATATTACCGGGAGAAGATCTGAAGCGATGACACTTCAATCCCCATCACCCCAAACTCGCCTCTGGAAGAGCCAGAGCCAGGCGGCCTCCCCATCACTCAGCGACCCAGCAGAGGGTAACTCGGCCCCGGAACCACCCGACTCTTCCGCAACAGGAACTCAATGGGTGGGCTTAGGAGGGGACCTCAGAGCACCGACTCCCAGGAGCTAAGGAGGACCACCTATTTCCTGCGGCCGTGGGCTTCCGTCCCTCCTAGGTCCGGGAACTCAATTCTGGGAGCTGACCTGGGGCCCCGATGTTGGTCACCGCCCCTCCCCCCCACCCCCGAAGGCGGCCCACCTTGACGGTCTCCAGGCAGCAGCGGTAGGTCTCGGCCCGCACCTGCGGCGTGGGGTGTGACAGCAGCCGCAGCAGAACCTTCTGGCTCTCGCCCCGCAGCAGCGGGCTGGCCTGGGCCGACTTCCAGCTGGGGGCAGCCAAGACACGCAGGGGGGTTATTCCAGGAGGCATGGGGAGGGGGCGGGAGTTGAGTCCACTCGCTCCGGGTTCTCCATCGGGAGCTAGCCCAGCTGATGCAACGTAAGTATCCATGCATTCACGCACTCACTTGCTTCAAGGCTGGGACTGACTATTCTCCCTTCGAGAGTACCCCAAACGAGACTGTCCAAAAAAAAAAACACTGTTTGGGGCTGGAGCTATAGCACAGCGGGTAGGGCGTTTGCCTTGCACGCGCCCAACCCGGGTTCGGTTCCCAGCATCCCATAGGGTCCCCCGAGCACCGCCAGGAGTGATTCCTGAGTGCATGAGCCAGGAGTAACTCCTGTGCATTGCCGGGTGTGACCCAAAAAGCAACAACAACAAATAAAACCCTGTTTGGGATATACACATTGGTAGGCACCGTAAGAAACAGTCTAGGGATCCCTCAAAATCTGTCACAGGAATGCAGCAGTTTCTCGTGTCCGAGGAACAGAGTGGGCGTGCTGGAGAAGTGTCTGTGCATCACCCGGGACCCTGCAGCCACCACCAGGACCCGCCGCTGGGCGGATAGGTAAAGGAAGTGTAGCATGAAGATACCAGGGGCCGCTACTCAGTGTTAGAAAGGAAAGCCTAGCCCTCGTGGCAGCATGAACGAGCCCGGAAATCATCACGGGACATGAAATAAACAGAAACCGCTAAATACAACCTGATCTCGCTTATCAATCAAATCTAAACAAGCCAAACCTGCGTAGAAGCAGCGACGAGGAAGCTGGGTGAAGGATGCGAGGGAGAGGGAAGGGGACATTCGGGTCCCAAGGAACCAGGCTAAGGCCCTTCACGGCAAGATCAGCGACAAAAAGAATGAGCGGAATCTTTGGTCGTTGGCGGGGATAAAAAATGCCCCAGACGCACAGACACAAAGATAATTACATGGGAGCAGACATCAAATCACACACGGGGTACAAAAAAAAATATACAAAGCCATACTTAAATAAAAATTATCAGTATGACATTTACTCTTTCCAAAAGCAAGAGAGGTAATTAGGTTCTAAATATGAGTTTGCCCTGCTGTCCTGGGGGTCAATGGTGCTCTCCAAAACTCCGTGCGAGAAAAAGGCAGGAAGGAATGAAACTTACACTCTTAAGAGCCTGAAATTTACATTATTAATTAAAACTTTAGGGCTGGATATACTTCAAAGATAAACTTTAAAGAGAAATGAATACCCTCGACTGCTTGGTCGGATGAACTCCAAAAGAAACGCGTAAAAACCCAAAGACAACTCATTTTAACGATGACATTTTTTAAGTTCCTATTAAGTAAAAGCGAACTATCCTGATGCCACTGAACATACTTTTTCCAGCTCAGACACACAGAAAACCGAGCACCTTAAAAACAAAAAGAGCAAGATTTAAGAGCAGTTTTGCTTTCACTGCCGCAAAGCTTACACACCCAAACGTCATGACCGATCATAAGGGAATCATAGAAAGGGGGGAAAAAATTCACAGGCCTTACATCTTTGAACAAATGCAGATGATTTCCGTTATTAGGGCGAAGTGCTGATGGTAGGAAAAGCTCCGCAGGGCGTGGTCCGCCAGCTCCACCAACTCTAAGAGATTCTTCTCGCCCTTCAAAGGAAGCAGAAGGGGGCGGTGAACGCCACGTTCGTGTACGATGACACGCCCGACCGCCCCGATGCAGAAGAATCGCAGTTACTCGGGGACCCTGGCCTGCCCACCCGCCGCAACCCGGCCCCGGGGCCAGCTCCCAGCTGGAGGCCACGGTGAGGCCTGACTCCCTGCGGCAGCCCCCTCGCCCCCGCCAACTCGGCAGGGCTCGCCCGTCTCCTGGCCACCTCGCCCTTCTCGCCCTTCCAACCCCCCGGCTGGTGCCAGGGTGCAAGGGCCGTCCCTGCAGGCATGACGAGCGGGCCCTGTGGAATGCCAGCCACGCGCAGCTGTCTCGGAGGAGACAGGAAGCCCGCGGGATCGCCATGTGGCCAAGAGAAAAGGGTAACGGGAAAAATCAAGCAACGTGAAGTTCAAGGAGGGGCCAAGGCAATTAAGGACTCTGTCCGTGATTTTTCCAAAATATTTAGTATTTAGAAAGAAAAAACAACAAGCCAAACTTGGTTGTCTTTTATGACTTGGCAACCCTTTCCACGGTAACGGGAAATATTCCGAATGGCCTCTCGGAAAAGGACAAATGACAAGACACGGCTGAAAGTCATCCGACCACCTCTTTTGTTCTGTTTTTGTTTTTGTTTCTGGGTCACACCTGGTGGTGCTCGGGGCTGCCTCCTGGCTCTGCACTCACAGACCACTCCTGGCATGCTTGGGGCACCATGTGGGACGCCAGGGATCGAATCCGGGTGGACCGCGTGCAAGGCAAGTGCCCTCCCCGCTGTGCTACTCCTCCTGCTTCCCTTTCACCTAGCTCCTGACATTTAGTTGAAACAAACAAACAAAAAAATCAGGTCCTTTGTAGATGCAATGAGTCGATAAGTCATCAAAGGGAAAAATATCTAAATAAGCAATAAAATGGAACTTACAATTCTGTTTTTTCAACTGTCAGTTCATGCAGAGTAAGTCGCTTTATAGCGGAACTCCCTATTAAATATTAAAACCTTTATTGTAGGCGCTGCAGCGATAGCCCAGTGGGTGGGGCATTTGCCTTGCATGCAGCCGACCTGGGTTCAGTTCCCAGCATCCCATATGGTGCCCCAAGTACCACCAGGAGTAATTCCTGAGTGCAATGAGCCAGGAGTAACCCCTGTGCATTGCCGGGTGTGACTCAGAAAGCAAAAACAAAACAAAACAAAACAAAGGTAAAGGTAAAGGTAAAGGCCCTCCCGTTGATCGTCGATTTGCTCGAGCGGGCCCAGTAACGTCTCCATTGGAGACTTTGTTGTTACTGTGTCTGGCATATCGAATACTCTCGGTAGCTTGCCGGGCTCTCCCTTTATACTAATCCTTGCTTCTGTAAGACCCACCCATCTCAGGAACGCACCTATAAAGTCTTCCTTTCGCTTTTATGCACATCCTAATCTGACCGCTGACTTCAACGGGTCACCAACCCAGGTCCGGCAGCTCAGTTCTTGCTGTCCCTCACCCCTGAGCGCCCGGGGAAGCGCTCCAGTCTCCGGGCGCGCCCATACCTCCCTCCCCGCGTCGGCCAGGAAGCTGCAGGCGCACTCGATGGAGCGCACGGCCTGGGCGGCGCGCGTGTAGACGCTGTAGCTGTCCGAGTCCAGCTGCTCCAGGTAGGCGAGCGCGGCAGCGTGCTCGCCCGGGTACTCCAGGGACAGGGGCAAGTCCAGAGCGACCAGGAACAGGGCAGCCGACATGGACTCCGGCAGGAAGCGGCTCGCCTGGGCGGAGGGAGAGAAGAGACGCTCTGCGTGCTGGAACCGTGTCCTCCCAGAGGCGCGGCCAACGGCGAGCTCCGTGTCCGGCCTTCCAGCAATGCTCCCCCACATGCCTCTGCTCTCTGCCTTCCCAGAGGAAACACACGCCATCCCCTCGGCCTTTTCTCTGAATATCTTGAAGCCCCATTTCAAACCCTTCCCCTAGCCCTGAGATGGGGCGTTTCCTTCTCTTCCTGCACGCATGCCGTCTGTCCGTTGCCTGGGGCAGCCCAGCTCTGCGGGCGAGCGGCATCTTTCGTGCCCAGGACTGCCCGCGGCCCGAGCTCCTCCGAAGAAGCTTCCTTCACAGACACAGTGAGAGGGTGTCTGGCGGCAAGGAAGGAAGTACGGACCCCCGGGCTGACCGACGACAGAGCCGCCGGAGCACCGTAACAGAAAACGAGGCTGGGCTCGTGTTCCAGAGAGGAGGAGGAGGAAGAAGCCCAACACAGTATCTAAAATAGTTCCCAACACTCACAAGAAACTAACCTTTCAATAGCGAAGTAAATAAAGCAATGGGCTCAAGTGAAGCCGTCTGTTTTATTATAAAAGTCTTTGTTGTTTGGGTGGACCGGGGGGGGGGGGGGGGGGCCGGGGCAGCAGGGAACCACACACCCAGCAGTGCTCAGATGACTCCTGGCTCTGTGCTCAGGGGACACACAAAAAGCAAAAAAAAAAAAAAAAAAGAACTGTTTTTTTTTTTTTTCGATCACACCCAGCGGTGCTCAGGGGTTCCTCCTGACTCTGCACTCAGGAATTACTCCTGGAGGTGCTCGGGGTACCCTATGGGATGCTGGGAATCGAGCCGAGTTGGCCTTGTGCAAGGCAAATGCCCTCCCGCTGTGCTATCGCTCCAGCCCCATGCATGAACTGCTTTTCAATTCGGTTTGGTTTTGCATCACAGTGACTGGGCGACGGTGTGTGCATGGGTCTTACTCCTGATTCTGCGCTCAGGGCTCTCTCTTGGGGGCTCTGGGGAGCAAGCTGGATGCTGGGGGCGCAGGCCACGTGGGTGGCAGGAGCCCAGCCCGCTGGACAACCCCTCCGGCCTGGAGGCGCATTTTAATAGACTCGGAAGCGATCTCCTGCCACAGAGGGAGTGAAGTGAAGTGACCGGCCGCCTGCTCCCCGGTAAGAGCCCTGCGCCACAGCGGAGACGGCCCCCATGCACCTCCCCAAGGGCCGGGCTGGCCAGGACACTGAGCTCAGAGAGTCAGAATGGGCGCAAGCAGACATGGTCGGAGCTGGGCGGCCCCCGAAGGAAGGGGGAGGGCGAGGAGGCCGGCAGCCCCACGCGGGCGGAGCCCAGTGACACGGGTCGGGCTCCAGTCCGAGCAGAGGCCAAGCTCACTCTGCCCGGACCCAGGAGTGCCACCGACAGGAACCAAGGGGGCCCCAGGGGTCCCTGCCTGTCAGATGGAGGAGCACTGTGTCCCGGGCAGTGACAGGGGCAAGGGCAGGCAGGGGCCTGGCCTCGGGGAGGAGGTGCCAGTCACAGGAAGGAGAGGCCCGCGAGGAAGCGCGTGGGCAGTCACCCCTACCACGGGCTCGTCCCCCGAGACCGATGGAGCTCCCCACACTCACCTTCTCCACGGGGAGCACTGTCTGCAGCAGCCGCAGAGCGAGCAGCGAGGCGCTGACGAAGGCCATCCGGTGGTGCACCCGCACAGCCTCGTGGGGGCCCTCGTGGGGGCCCGCGTGGGCGCGGCTCTGGTGGTGGCACAGCGTGTCCCCCAGGGAGCTCAGCACAGCCAGCAGGCGCTCTCTCTGCGAACGACAGGCGGCACTGCGGGAGGAGCACTGGAGAAGGAGCACGGCGGGAGGGGCGGCTGCCAGGGGCCCCCCACTCACCCCCGACTCTCAGCCCGCTGGGTTCTGCTTTCCCAGGACACGCCCGGGAAAGCTTCTCCCCAGCTCAGGCCGAGAGTCTCAAGGCGTGACACACTCAGAGCCTCAGACTCGCTCAGTGATGCTCACGCACTTCCTACCGTGATTCCTAAGGAAAGAAGCCAAACACCAAAGTCGAACACGCCCCCAAGTCCTGTCTGGCGCTGCTGGGACCCGAGGGCCTCTCCCCCACTCGGGAGGCCTGTGACAGCCGACACAGGCCTGGGAGCCAGAGCTGCCAGGCCCCTGGGGGCCACGCCACGCCCACACGCGAGAGGGCAAGCTCAGTCCTCAGGAGTGAAACAGTTAAATCATCACAAGACGAGTTAATGGGGCCAGAAAGACAGTGTGGCAGGTCAGGCACTTGCCTTGGACACGGTCAACCTGGGTCCGATCGCCAGTACCCCACAAGGTCCCCCGGGAGTGCTGAGCACAGACGAAGGAGCCCTGAGGCCACCAAGGGCAGCCCACAAACCAGAACAAACCGCCCCCCACCACCAAAGGAAAAAAAAAGTCAATTAAAAATCGTGCCGTACAAAGTCACCAGATCCTGGAGCTAGAGCAGCGGAAACGGTCTCTCTCAGTTTCCCAAGAGCCCGCAGCTCAGGTCAAAGCTGCGTACCGAACGCTGGAACACACGCGTGAAATAGAAAGGAAGCTGGAACACAGGCAGTCAGGGCTCGGGAAACAGCTCAGGGGGCAGGGGCGGGCCTTGGACACGGCCCACCCGGGCTCCATCCCTGCACCACACACGGCCCACCCCGCACTGCAAGAGTGGTCCCTGAGCACCAAGCCAGGAGGAACCCCTGAGCGTCCTGGGGTGTGACCCAAAACCAAGACAAAGAGAGATGTGTGTATACGTGTATGGGTCTGTGTCTACGTGTGTATATATGTGTGTAGGTATGTGTGCATGTGTGAGTGTGTATGTGTATCTATGTGTGTGTGCATGCGTGTGTGTATGGGTGTATGAGAGAGAGAGAGAAAGAGAGAGAGAAAGAGAGAGAGAGAGAGAGAGAGAGAGAGAGAGTGTGTGTGTGTGTGTGTGTGTGTGTGTGCACAACCCTTCTGCAAATGCAGCTAGACTGTCCCGGCTCTGCCGACGGCCCGGTGGCCTGGAGACCCACCCCAGCTGCTGGACACAGGACAGAGCACGAAGCCTCCCTCTCAACTGTCCATGGAAAACAGGGAGAAACAAAACGTGTTTCTGAACGGCCCATCAACGAAGGAAAACGGCCTAACGCACGGGCGGGTGAGTTTTACTCAAAGATGACTCTGCAGGAAATGGAATGGAAGGGCCTAAGGCCTAGAAAACTCTGTGCAGGGTCACAACGGGACAACCGAGCCCACCGCAGCCCCAGGGGCGAGAAGGAAAGAACGAGGGGGCGACCCCCCTCCTTCCCCCTCCCCGCCCCGCTCCCCACCTCCCCTCCCCGTTGACAGGGGCGCTGCTGTCCCCCCAGGCACTCCTCTGTCCCAGGGCCAGGCGGCACTGCTCGCCGGCACACAGTGGACGCCAGGCACCCCGGCCTCTGCCCTGTCCCCTCGGACGGCTGTGCAACCCCAACAACAGAAAAACTCTCATCAGTTTTCTGCTTGGGGGCCACACCCAGCTACGCTCAGGGCTCACTGCGGACAGTGCTCAGGGCCCCCTCCGGGGTGCCGGGCCACCCTTGGGGTGCAGTGTGCGAGCAGGGTCCGTAGCGGCCCTCGGGGCGGCCTTTCTTCCCCGCTCTGATCCCCCAAGACTCAGCAGGGCGCTGCTCCCCGCTTCCTCTTCAAACTTGGCAAAACTACGCTGGGAAATTCTACCTAATTGCTTCTATTACTACGTAGCCAAAGAATGAGACTTTCCCTAGGAGACAGTTATTCTTTTAAACAAGAAAAAGTAAATTAAATATAATTTCAAGCAGTGCTGTTTTATTTAACATTTCTAACATACCAATTGGCACTTGTACAACAGACTTAACCTTTAAAGTAAAAATAATCCACTGAATCATAAAAGATCAGCATCCCCCCCCAAAAAAAATGAAGGAATAACTTTTACAGATCATATTCTGGCCAAGAAAATTTCAGTTAAAAAAAAATTTTTTTTCCAGTTAATTTAAGCAACTGATAAAACATTCTTCACACTTCTAGGAAAAAACTCACTTGCTGAAATCTTCAATATGTGAAGATTTCTGATAAAAGCACTACAAAAATGTGTGATAACCTTAAAGAATAAAGAAAAATTGAGGGTAAGGATTTTTTTTGAAACTTGAAAGCATAAGATACGATGCCTTTTGCAAATGCTTGTTTTCTCTTTTCAAGAAATTTTCCAAGTTAAAAAAAATAGCTTGAGTTTTTTACACCCGGGATTGACATCAAGCAAACACCAGCAAGTAGTTAAATTCTAGCCTCGGGGGTATGGTGCCACCAGCAGGTCAGTCTGTGAGGCGAGTGCACCAGCTGCCTGATGGCGCCTTCAGACTTCCAGATACCCCCAAATTGCCGCTGTGCCTTTGGCCAGACCCCAAAAACTTGGGGCAAAGTTTACCAAGAAAGTGAACGGCCAAAAGTTGGGTATGTGGGAGACACACCCACAAACCACCTCCGGCTCAGCTATATAATTGGAGGCATGGCCTCTCTGGTTCCTGATCGAACTGCTTAATGGCCATGACCCCAGAGACTCAGAAACAAATCTCGAAACCCAGCAGCTTTTGGCAGAAATGCGTCCGGTCCCTGCAGTAGGTTACTGGTGCTGGGCCAACCCAGGTGGGAATAGGTTTCGTGCCTTGGCCTGGGCCTCACAGGATGGGGGTGGAGACGGTCCTGGTCTCCCCGTCCCAACGATACCCCAAGTCATCGCCCACTAACGGTCTTTCTGGCTCCTGATCAAGCTGCTTAACGGCCATGATCCCAGAGGCTCAAGAGCAGATCTCGAAACCCAGTGGCTTTTGGCAGAAATCCCTCCAGATTTAAGTGTTAAAATTTCGGAATTTCAAAATCATGCGGTCACTCCTGCAGCCACGCAACATCATATGTTATTCATAACCAGCAACAGAACACAAATCGTCTACTGTTGCCTTTTCAGCAGATCTGAGTGTTGGGGTAAAATCCCAAATAGTAATGGTGGGTCTGGTGTCGAAATATTGAATGTGATCAAAGTAGAGAGAGGGTCATGTGGAAATCATCTGCCCCACAGGTAGGGGGAGGATGTGGATTGGGGGTATACTGGGGTTTTTGGTGGTGGAGAATGGGCACTGGTGAAGGGACGGGTGTTTCATTGTATGACCGAGACTTAGACCCGAAAGCTTTGTAACTGCTCTCATGGTGATTCAATAAAGAAAATTATAAAAAAAAAAAAAAAAAAAATGAAAAAAAAAAGTAAGGTGGAGTTCATCCTTATTTCAATCAGCTTAATCCATGACTAAATAAATATCAAAGTACTCCTACATAAAAATAAAAAAGCCCCTGAGAGGATCATGTCCGACTTCTAGCACCAAAAGGAAAGAACCCCCCCTCACTGGCCTATTGTTGCACCGATACAACATTCCCTGACTCAGAAACCCAAGCCTGTTCCAGGTCATGCACGAAATAAACTGTCTCTATGAAAGGATACACTCAAACACTAATGAGATCATGAAACAAGCTTCAGAAGATGAAAATAAGAATAAAAATGCAATTACCCACATCCCAAGGAAAACATCAATTCTTACCATATCAATAGCAAACAGACTGTTGTCATCCCAGACATCTGCCGAGATCGCTTCACCCGTCAGTATCAAATCCTCCGCCAGCAATTCCAGGACTCTTATTATCATCTGCCTGCTACCTGGAGTCCAGAGGAGAACGAGGAGGAAGAAAGTGAGCTCTCACACGCACGGGTGAATATCGCACGGGTCTATCCTCTCGTGGGTCACGCCCCACCAATTCCCACTTCTCTATTTTATTGTTTCTTGAATTGCAGAAAGAAAGAAAGAAATAGGAAAGTCGTAACCTACAACCGCCATGAAAGACTTGGCATCCTTGTGATTACTCAGCCAGAACACAGCAAATGTGGTGAAAAGTGGAGAAGATACCCAGGAAGGGAGAAGCAAAGTCGGACAGTGCCGGGAGACACACGAAAACCATTCGTCTGGGGCTGGAGCGAGAGCACAGCCGGGAGGGCATTTGCCTTGCACAAGGCCAATCCGGGTTCAATTCCCAGCATCCCAAATGGTCCCCCGAGCTCTGCGAGGAGTAATTAATTCCTGAGTGCAGAGCCAGGAGTGACCCCTGTGCATCGCCAGGTGTGACCCAAAACAGCAAAAAAAAAAAAGTTCTTCAAACTCATGGCCCATCCCGGGAAGCGTGATCTGTGGCAAAGCACTCGGTGAGCCTGGCGCGGTCCAGCAATCTCCCCTGTACTGAAAGGAGCCTTAATCTCCATTATAAGTGAGCGTTTCCACACAAGGGCTCACAAGGGCTGCCCAGGAAGCAAAGCCCGAAACTGGAGCCACCATAAACGCATCTGCTGAATGTAACTGAAGAAACGCCAAGGATCTGCCCCAAAGCCTAAAAGAGATCCACACAAACTATGCTGTCAAAGCCACACGGCTCAGAGCAAGCCCACTCCCGCGAGGGACAAGAGCGGGAATCCCACCAGCTCTGATGGCCAGGAAGGTCGGAGACCCAGGCCGGCCCGGCCAGCCCGCAGGATAAAGGCCAGTGTCTCGGGCCCAAGAATGAAACGGCGTCTGCTCGGAGTGGTCCCGATTAATTGTTTCATAAGAGCAGCTGGAGCCAATTCTTTCCGAAATCCCTTATGAAACTGAACAACTATAAATTACGCGCTAATTTACCACAAAAGGGCACGAGAACATTTAGAAAATTTTATGTACCAAGACACAGCTTTATAATTATCAATCTGACTTTTTACAGCATATTAAGGAAAGGTTAAATGCAAAATCATTACATCGAAGGCCGTTCTTCTCAGTGCAGCAGGCAGACAAACACATCCTTGATGATGCCAAAGTTCAGCTCTTCCTTCATGTCACAGAACTGGCCCGTGGATTCAGATGCCCCCACAGTGCAGAGGCCGACCTTCTCACTCCATGCAGGGGAGTGCGGCTTTCCCAGGACAGAGGCCCGTGCCCACTCCCCGAACACACAACTTTGTACCCCACCCCTGTCACGTCAGCAAAAACAGTGGCAGGGCATACAGAGCCCCCCACGAGAGGATACACGGTCACTCTTTGTAAGACGGGGGGAGAGGTCCGCCAACAGGAGAAGCCCCGTGACAGGAAGTGACTCTGGCCCCCTTTAGCTCACAAGTCTAGCTAATATAACTGAAGAAACGCCAAGGATCTGCCCCAAACCCTAAAAGAGATCCACACAAACTATGCTATCAAAGCCACACGGCTCAGAGCAAGCCCACTCCTGCGAGGGACAAGAGCGGGAATCCCACCAGCTCTGATGGCCAGGAAGGTCGGAGACCCAGGCCGGCCCGGCCAGCCCGCAGGATAAAGGCCAGTGTCTCAGGTCCAGTGCTGTACCACTGTGGTCTTGGGAAATGTTCAGCCTCAGAGACTAAAGATCACCATCACCTTCGAGGTCTCCCTTCGAAACGCCCCGGGCTTCCGCCGGATTCTAAAGAAACGGCCCAAAGCCCCTGCCCTCAGCTGCCTGGCTTCGGAGGAGTCTCTAAGCCACTTTCAGTCTGTTTCCACCCAGCAGAAGCAGCGGCCAGCCCAGACAGGGCCAGGCAGCACAGGCCGGGGGCCGGGCCCCGAGCATCTCCCAAGGACTCTGGTGCCAGACTAGGGCGTGGGCCAGCTCAGCACAGTTCCCTACCCGCCCAGATGACAACCAGAGCTCCAGCCCCAGCACATCTGAGAGGAAAGCGCTGACCCCAAAATGGTTCAGAATGGGGGGGGGGGGGGGGGGGGTTGTGTTTGAAGGAAAGACTTACCGCAACGGTAAGATCTGGGGTTTGCTTTTGTTTCTAACACGGTTTAAAGAAGACAGTGCACAGAGGGAAGAGTAAACGAACAGGGAAGGCAGCTCAGCCAGGGCCGGCCCTTACAGGCCACTGCATCCAGGGAGACCCACTACACAGTGCTCCGAGACACCCGCGCTGAATCAAGGAAGACAGACAGGCAGGCAGGCAGGCAGGCAGGCAGGCAGGCAGGCAGGCAGGCAGACCGACCTCCGCCGTTCTCGGTTGTCTGTTTCCCCCACATCCATGCCAGCAGAAGGCGGAGGCCCGGGCAGGGGGAGCCGGCAGCGAGGGGCCGGGCCCCCCACGCCCCTTACCCGTGCGCAGCAGCGGGGTGGCCGCTTCCAGGATGGACACGCAGAGCTGGGGCAGGCTGAGCTGCTGGCATTGGAGCTCCAGGGCGCCCAGCCCCGTGTCCAGCTCGGGCAGCTCCAGGGGCGCCAGGTCCGACGGGGAGTGGCCAGAGAGCCGGGAGTCGCCGTGGGCGCGGCTGCTGCCGCCGCTGGGGGAACAGGCAGGCCCAGGTCACACGGGCAGGGGCCCGGCCCCCAACTCCCCCACCACGCGGACCCAGCAGCCCGGCCGGCCCCAGAGCCCCCCACACGCCAGCAGGGTCTGTCCAGGCTGGAGGAACGGGCATGCTGAGGGGCTGTGACGCCGGCTCTGACTCAGTGAGACCAGGCGCCATCCCAGCGCTGCCCCGTGGCGCGGCCGGGCCTCCAGCACCGGCACTGACGACCCGCACCCGCCGGACAAGCCGTGCCAGCAGCGCCATCGCCACATTCCGTGACCGGCCGCACGCTCAGACTCGGTGTCCCACCTCCCCTGCCTCCTCATCAAAGGCTCTAGAAAGGCCACGTGAGCAACCAGAGGAGGCGCCAAAATGCCACAAGGGGGCTGGAGCGATAGCACAGCGGGTAGGGCGTTTGCCTTGCACGCAGCCGACCAGGGTTCAATTCCCAGCATCCCATATGGTCCCCTGAGCACCACCAGGAGTAATTCCTGAGTACAGAGCCAGGAGTAACCCCTGAGTGCAGAGTGCCAGGAGAAGCCTCTGTACATTGCCGGGTGTGACCCAAAAAGAAAAGAAAAAAAAAAATGCTGCAAGGCCGTGGGCGCCAGATCACTTTGGAAAGTACCACAGCGCACAGCAGTCTCGACACCGACAGGCCCAGCCAGCCCACATCCCGATTCCTCAGCCGCTAAGCAGGTGGGCACCCAATGCCACCAGGACAGGCACCACACCAGGCTGCCACAGCATCTGCGACCTGGTTGGAAGCACAGTGACCCACGTCACCCAGCCCAGGCGCACCCACGTTCCCTCCGTTTCCTGAAGAAGCATACGAGGGGGCTGCTCTCACCAGCACAGCACACGGGACCCCGAGCCAGGCCCTCGGTTGCCGCCTGCCCGGTCCACCCCCCACGGCACCAGCACCGTCAAGGTGCTCCGACAAATGGTGCCCACAATGCCCACAGCCCCCCGGCTGCGGCAGCCTCTCCTCCGGGACAGGCGACAGACAGAAACCCTCGCCAGAGCAGCGGCGACACGGGGGCAGGAGGCGCGTCGGCTGAGTAGCAGGCAGAGGGCAGTCAGTCCTGGACGGGGACACTGCCCACATTGTGTGTCCCCCCCAACCCCACCCCGGGCACGGCTTGCAGAGGCCCAGAGCCGCAGGGGGGAGGGTCCCTGAAGATACCCCCCCAGTCCCCCACCCCCCGGTCACCTGGAAGAGCCAGCGTCCCAGTCCTGGCCATCCCCGCGGGGCCGCTGACCGGTGCGTCCGACGACCGATGGCCGCGGGCTGCTGCTGCCCAGGGAAGGGTTCCGAGAGGGTGGGGCGCCCCGCGCGTCCTGGCAGTAGGACAGGGAGGAGTTCTGCGACACCGTGTCTGCAAAGGCAAAGCGACTCCTCAGGGCACGGCCCCCGAGCCAGCGGGCTGTGGGGGTCGTGCCTGAAGCAGAAAAACCCTGAGAAACCAGCACTGGCCAAAGGTGGGCGTCGCAGGGCCCTGTCCCGGTCACCCTGTCACCCCGCCAGGTCCCGCCCAGCACGGCGGGAGTCCCAGTCAGCGGGTTCTGCAGAACCGTCCCGCTGCCAGGACCCAGGCCCAGCAGCAAAGCTGCCCAACCAAGCCGACGCCAGCCCAGGACCCCCAGGCCAAAGGTCTCTGGGGACCCTCCTCCCCCCCCAGATGCAGAAAACTCCAAACACATCCACAACCCACACAGAGCCATGAAACTGGGCTCTGAGCAGAAAACACAGACGCTTAAGTGGGGAGAGCACCTTCACAGACACTTCTCCAAAGGAGACAGAAATCGGCCCAAAAGCACCCGAAGCGTTACCCAGGAGGCACCAGGGACTGGCCACGAGTCCTCAGGGAAGGGCAAACTAAGATACCCCTCACCTAGAAGGACCACTCATCAAAAAAAAAAAAAAACAAGAGGGCAGAAGGGCAGCTCAGGGTGCAGGAAGACTCGTCAGAAGTGGCCCCAAAACGCAAAATAGGAAAAAGCAAAACACCAAATATTGGCATGGATGGAACTAAATGGGAAGCCTCGGACCAGAAGCCGGGGCTGTGCAGTGGCGCCCCCTGGCGCTGGGCTGGGGAACTTCACGGGAAGCCAAGCAGGGAGCAGCACCAAGACGCAGCCAGGCCCCTTCTCCGCGGACTGGGGATGAAGCAAGCGAGAAGAGCAGGTCAGCCGGCCTGTGAGGCACCATCACAGCTCCGACACAGGAAGGAGGCGGCGCCCGAGGCTGTGCAGAAACCGGGCTGGGACTGGCGGGGGGGGGGGGGGGGGGGGGACGGACGGACAGGGGGGGATGTAGCCACTGCACAGGGGAGGCCTGAGGCCTCACCTCACAGGTGAGCTGAGCCAGACAGAGAGCCCCAGGCCGCAGGACTCCACTGCTGGGAAATGCCCAGAACGAGGCCAGACTAACTGCGAGACTAGCTGCAGGAGGACGTGCTCAGGGTACAGTGCTCCTGGAAGGGGACCGGGGAGGTCTGGAAACAGCCGGGGGGATTGTGGCGCCACAGGTGGCTGAGCCGTGCCACCAAAGGCCCGTCTGAAAACGGCTGTGATCAGTTTATGGTACATACACGCAATTTTTTTTTTTTTTTCACTTTTTACTGTGGGCTGGAGAGATAGCACAGCGGTCGGGCATTTGCCTTGTGCACAGCCGGCCTGGCCAAGCCGGGCTCAATTTCTTTGCCCCTCTCAGAGAGCCCAGCAAGCTACCAAGAGTATCTCGCCCGCACGGCGAAGTCTAGCAAGCTCCCCGTGACGTATTCGGTATGCCAAACACAGTAACAACCAGTCTCACAATGGAGACCTTACTGGGCCCGCTCGAGCAAATCGATGAACAACAGGAGGACAGTGCAGTGACTTTTTACTGAATCGCCACGAGACAGACGCTGAGGAAGGGGTCTGTGATGGGATCTCAGTCCTACAGTGTTCCAACACCCGCCCCTCCACCAGTGCACACGCAACCTTTAAAAGACCAACAGTGAAGGCATTTATGAGAAAGGGAAACTCGCCCCCCCTAGAGGCTCACCCTGTCGGGGTCCTTTGTGTCCCCAGTCCCGGCCATATGACGCCCAATCCCTGGCTGCGTGCCCCGCCCCTCCCCTCCATCTCCCCCACCCCGCTGCACCAGCTGCTTCCTGCCCCTCAGGCCTGTCGCCCTCCTGGGTGTTATCCCTGAGGACTTCAAGCAGGAACCTCCTTCCACCCGGTCACCTCCTCCACCAGGATGCCCTCCCTGACCAGCCTTTCCCCGGGGAGCCACACCCCCGTGACCGCTCTTCCTCCTCAAGCACTTCCTACCTGACACAAACGCGTTTGTATGGATTGCAGGGGCTTCGGCGCCTGGCCCTGGGCGCTCTGTCCCGGCTACAGCCCTCAGAGCCTCCGGGGCAGGAGGTGGGTCGTGAATGCTCCGACAGGAGTCGGCAGGGAGAGCCGCCGCGTTTCTGGGCGCCGGAAGCCCGTCCGGGGATACGGGCCCTGGAAGCCTTCCAGGCCAGCAGTGTTATTTTAATAAAGTTAACGCGGGAACTCTGGCCCCTCTGAGACCTGATTCTCATAAAATAATGCATGTGTCAAATTCCAGAACTGCGGATTCAGTGCGACAGCCACAAGCGATACGGCAGGGGACAAAGGGCCTGCCGTGACCCGTGATGCTACAGGACAAGCCAGTCCCCGCTGCGGCCAGGAGGTGGCGCTTCTCCCTGGCGAGTCCAGAGCCCCGCCCCACCGTCTCTCGGGTCACACAGGTGTTCCCGAACTGCAAACTGGATCTTTTCCACCCAACCGATCTAGTCACGCGACCCCCACTCGGCTGGTGACCACAGTCCCACGTGACTGGCTGAGCCCAAAATCCCGGTCCCCAGCTCCATGCCCGGCTGGGCCCAGGAGAGGCAAAAGACGGCTCCCCTCCAGGGAGGCACTTGGCGGGGGGGACAGGCCCATGGGGGACAGGTCACGGGCAGGCGGGGCCGTGGGACGGGGGCGTGGGTGGGGGCCAGTACCTTGCTTGCTGGAGAAGAAGCCGGGGTCGCGGTGGCAGCTGAGGCGGGAGCGGAGACCCGTGCAGAGCTGCTGCAGGCAGGACACGGCCTGCAGGGCCAGCCGGTGCTTCAGCAGCGACAGGAGGCTCTGGGGGCAGAGAGGAGGCTCAGCGAGGGCGTGAGGAGACGGGCAGAGTCCTGGGTCCCGCACGGGCAGCAGGAGCGGGCCCAGGATGACCGCGTTCCTGCCGGTCGGGCCCCGGGGGAAGGCAACATCCAAATGGAACAGCAGGTGTTTCCCGGACAGTCTGAGGAGGACGCGGGAATCACTGCCCTTTCGGGACGAGGGGTCACGCACTTCTTCAGAGCTCAGCTCGGCGCTCTGCCCCCTCCCGGGATGAGCACCATGGCCCCTGCTGTCCCCACACAGCGCGGACAGGTGGAGGGGGAGCAGGTGGGGCCGCCGAAGGGCTGGGACCTGCCCGGGCCCCGTTCACGGCCCTCCCACTGCCCACCTGGGAATGTGCCTGGGCACCCTCGGCGACGCTAGCCCACCCTTAGTTCCAAAGCCCACCACCCTCCTCTTGAGGGGACCCAGAGGCGGCCAGTTCCTGGGAGACCAACTGGCTGCACGTGCCCCGACGCGGCTGTCCCTGAAGAAGCCTGACGGACATGCAGATCTCGGGTCACCAACGCCACCCAAGTACACGCGGATCTGCAATTAAGGGAAGCTGCCCACATCCACGCAGATATGCAGTTAATGGAAGTCACCCACATCCACGTGGACTGCAGTTCATGGAAGCCGCCCACGCGGACTGCAGTCAATGGAAGCCGCCCACGCCCATGCGGACTGCAGATGAGTGCAGGAGCCTCGGCCACTGTGCAAACACCTCCTGGGGCAGACGTGGCCGTACCAACTTCCTCCCCGAGGACTCCCTACCTTGCATCCCCTGTTTCCCGGCAAACAGTTTTCCACTTCAAACTCGACAACCATTCGAGGACACACACCTGCACGATCTTCGGCCTCTGGAGGAAGATCTCAGCGGGGAAGTCTTGCATGATGACGTCCTTGAGGAGCTCGCAGGTGTTCCAGATTAAGGTGTGGTTGCTGCTCCTCAGAGAGCTACGAAACACGGAGCGAAACACGGAGCTCACAGCTGCAGGGAGGCCGAGACGGGGGCAGGCACCAGGGCTCCATCCGGCCCGCCCGGCCCCCGCGGGCCCTGCCTTCGGGAGACGAGTCCCCGCATCTGTGACACCTGCAGGCAGCTGTCGCGAGCCCCCACCCGGCTGTCCTGGCAGGGCAGCTGCTGCGGCCGTGGGATTTGGCGAATGACGCAGAGACAGAAAAGCCCCCCGCGCGCAGGGGGGTCCGCGGACCGCATCCGTCACTGCTCCTCTCTGCATGAGTCGGGGGCCCTCCCCGCCCCACCTCCCGTTTCTCTACAACCTTCTCCCTCCCAGGCCTGGACCGGGTGTCCGCCCCACCCCAGCAGTCAACGCCCGTGTCTCAGCCCTGCTGCAGTGGCCCTGGGTGGGGACAGTGGAGACCAGTTCTTCGTGCGGGTGACCAGCACGAGACGACCCTGCCCCCACCGCCTCCCCCCAAGCTGCTGCTCTGAAAGAAGCGAAAACACCTCACGCTTCCCTCGAAAGGGCCATGCAGCAGCACAGGCCTCGGTCCCTGCGAGAGTATCTGCAATGTCCAGATTCTCACCCGAGAAAGAGAGCCCATTTTCTGCAGCCATCACTGACACTAAAGTTCCTTTCTTTCTTTCTTTCTTTCTCTTTTTTTAAGCTCTCTGAGTTATACCCAACAGTGTTCAGGGGTTACTCCTGGCTCTGCACTCAGGAATTTCTCCTGGCGGTGCTCGGGGGACCACATGGGATGCCAGGGATTGAACCTGGGTTGGCTGCGTGCAAGGCAAACGCCCTACCCGCTGTGCTATCACTCTGGCCCCTGAAACTGAAGTTTCAGCCCACAGTGAGCTGGACACCAGCGTTCTCTGCAAACATCCGTGTCAGCTGCTTTGGGGGGTAAGAAGCAGCCGACGGGTGGTCCCCACCCTCTCCCCGGCCCATCGTCCTCCGCACAGCGCCACGTCTTAAAATACAGGACCTGCCCAAGTTAGACCCACTGGGCTCATTTTTCCACGTTATTACCCAAGGACATAAGCAAAGGCCATCAGAGACCCGTGCCCCCACGGAACCCTCAAAACTCCAGCGGCAAAAAAGAAAATTCACTGCAGGTCGGAAGATCTAACTTAAAGGCAGACCCATTTTCTCATGAAGTCTGTGAAATGGTGAGACCCGTTCGAACGTTGGCGTCGCTGCCCTGTGGCACACGCCCCTGTCCCATGAGGTCCCGCACACCGCACCCCTACACCCCAGGCCCGGCCACGCACCTGTCGTGGGAGGACAGCACGTGTCTGTCGGTGGCCGTCAGCGGCAGCCACGGGAACACAGAGAACTTCACGCAGCTCACGGCCTGGCCTGCAGCAGAGAACAGCGGGGCTCGAGGCGTCCCCAGCGCGGGGAGGAACGCCCAGCTTCCCGACGGGCCCGGGCCGCTTCGCGCCCAACACGCCTCAGGATTCTTAGAGGGAAGAAGCTCAGGGTGGAGTCAATGCCCAGACGGGGGCCAGCGCCTCTCAACCCTCGACTGAGCCGCACCTGACGCTTCAACTAACTGAAAAGGAGGTGCCATTGCGAGCACTTTAGAGACGAAAGAGGGCTGGAGCGAGAGCACAGCGGGGAGGGCGTTGGCCTTGCACGCGGCCGAGCTGGGTTCGATTCCCAGCATCCCATATGGTCCCCGGAGCACCGCCAGGAGTGATTCCTGAGTGCAGAGCCAGGAGTAACCCCTGAGCATCGCCGGGTGTGACCCGAAAGGCCACAAATAAAGAAAGATACGGAAGACGCGGAGACCGTAATGAAACACCGTCCACCCAGCCATGTCCCAGCAGAGACATCTCCCTGACGACCAGGAGACCACAGGGCTGAAGGGCAGAGAGCAGCGCTTGGGGATGAAGGCGACCCTCTGAGCTCCCTCAAGCCCCCCCTGCTCAAGCTCTTCCTCCAGGTCTTGGGCTGCGCAAAGTAGGGCAGTGACACCGAGAAACTGTGTCTACAGAAGCTGGCGGCCAAACACTCTGAAAAGGGCCAGGAACTGCTGAGTGCCAACAGCAGCACAAATCCACTCCCAAACACAGCCAAGTCTCTGCGGCCAGATGCGCCCACACTGTGCAGGAAAATCAAGAGGCGGCTGGCGGGGAGGGAGGACGGACGGGATGGACGGACAGACAGACAGACAGACAGACGCCACATGCAGACGAGGCGGCTCCCCAGCCCGCAGCTGCAGCCGCCACATGCCAGCTGCATCCCGGCCGAGCTGGTCTTCGCGCAGCCTCGCGGCCAGCACCCACCAAGCCTCCCCGCACGGCCAGTTGGGCCCCCGCAGCCTGACCAGCCCTGCCAGGACAGAGAGATGGGCAGGGCCTCCCTCGCGTCCACCAGAGCTCCCGCAGAGCTTTCGAGAAACGGAGGGCTTCCAGGCTGCGCCCACCGAGACACCGGCGGGGACATGGGCACACACGGCCAGGGGCCCGCCCTTCCCTCCCGACCACCAGGCAAAAAATCTCAGGTGCTGACTTGGCCCCTCCCTGCCTAACTGGGTGTCACCCGCGACAACGCTTTCATGGTAAGGCCAGCCTTCACCAGCCATGGCGGGAGCCAGGCCTGGGTTCTCGGGGTGCGGGAGGAGAGATCCCACGGCGGGAGACCCCCGGCGCAGCAAACAGACTCCTTCCGAGCAGGGCGGTGCTGAGAGGCAGCACGTGAGCGACATGCGAGGCACACGCAGAAGACCCGGGAGACTCAAAGCCAAAGCTGTTTTTTAAATGTGTTTGTTTTGGCTTTTTGGGCCACACCCCGCGATGCTCGGGGTCACTCCTGGCTCTGCACTCAGGAATCACTCCTGGCGGTGCTCGGGGAAACCCTATGGGATGTCGGGGATTGAACCCAGGTCAGCTGCGTGCAAGGCAGACGCCCTCCCCGCTGGACTATGGCTCCGGCCCCCAAACCAAGACTCCTTAATCAATGAATCTGGGGCCAAGGATCGATGAAGAAACTAAACGGTCCTGAGCCTGGCTGAGCACGGGGCCGGCGGGACCCTGAGGGCGACTCCGTCGGCACTGACCGCAGCCATGGGCCACCCCCGTCGAGGGATGGCTCAGAGGCCACGCCACAGAACAGCTGACGGCGCGGACGCTGCAGGCCCGAGGCAGGTCTGAAGGGGGTGGGCGCTGGCCTGCCACCAGCCGCTGGGGCTGTCCATACGCACCCGCGGCCCGGGGAGGCGCCTCCGTCCACTGACCGTGGCTCTCCGGGGGGAAGTAGCCCGTGAAGGCTGCACACTGCGGCGGCAGTTCTGAAACGAGAAACACCCGTTATGGGATTCCAGTCATTATTCACTAACAGGAAAACTCAAGACGTGCATCCTCGTCAAACCCTGAGTCGGAGCAAAGCCCAAATCAGAAACAAGTCGACCTGCTACTCCAGTGCAACAGAAGAACAACAACAACCGGAATCTCCTGAGTCCCTAAGTAACTGCAACTGTTTCCACCCGGAAAGAGCCACAGTGTAATGTCCATAAAGACTCTGCTACAAAGTATCCACCCCGTCTCTGCCTGGGCATTGCCCTCTTTCCAGGCCTGCCCTGCTCCTTCTCAGACACGGTTCCCTGCAGTTCAGCAGCAACGCCAGAAAAGCCTACAGCTGAATAGGCTGACACTCCCTTTGCCTCTCCCTAGCTGTGACCGAGGCAGCAGGGAACTGGAGACAAGCCTCCCTGTCCCTCGAACATCACCTGCCAGGGAGTGCGGCGATGCTCACGCTCCTGAAGACAAGAGGGACAGCAGCCTGCCGGGGCTCAGTCAGGAGAAACCCTAAGCCAAAGCGCCAGGACACGGCGAGGAGCTGGCCGCTGCCAGCTGCTCCCGCTGACAGCGCTCGCAACGCCGGGTAGGGAAAACCGCAGTGGACACTTTCGCTCCACAATAACAGACAGACTGTGGGCATCTGTTTCTCTCGGCCCATGAGCTAGGTACTACGTGGGGCATCACAGCGCAGGAAGAAGACAAGAGCAGCAGCCAAGGGTCCCGAGCGTGGTGTCCGGGGGTCCGTCTGCACTACGGCCCCGCCCCCCCCGGCCCTCACTGTCTAGGTGAGGAGAACCCCCCCCCCCCCCACTGTGCCACCTCGGACCCTGCAAGCCACAGAACTAAGCTCAGCACCGGAGGGCTCGCTGGCTAGCAGCGCCCCCGCCCCCCCCACGGGGCACGGCAGGTTCTGGAAAGGTCTTTTATACTGGTCTATTTGGGCCGAACCACAACAGAACAAGGAGCCAGGGCACGCCGTCCCCTCCCGAGTACCAAGAACCTAGGCCCACAGCCCAAGAACAGCGCCTTCGGAAATTCACGAAGATTGCTCAGACCCCCTGTGCAAACTCTGTGTCCTCCTGGGTGACTGCAGAGGGCTGCAATACAGGGCAAGCGCGTGGGGACCAAGAAAAGGGGGAAGGGTTGGGGGGTGGGTATACGGGTTCAGGTTCTTGGCTTTTATTGGTTTGTGTTCTGTCTAAAGGTTCTTTTCTTGGGGCTGGAGCAATAGCACAGTGGGGAGGGCGTTTGCCCTGCACGCAGCCGACCCGGGTTCAATCCCCAGCATCCCATGTGGTCCCCTGAGCACCGCCAGGGGTAATTCCTGAGCACAGAGCCAGGAGTAACCCCTGTACATCGCCGGGTGTGACCCAAAAAGCAAAAAAGTAAATAAATAAACAAATAAATGTTCTTTTCTTTCGAACTAGTCGCTTACAACCAGTACCTTTTTGTTTTGACAGAAAGTATACAGCTTTTGGTTTTGTTACTGTTGCTTTGGTTTCTGGCTGAGGGGCTGACTCCAGGCTGAGTTCAGGGGTCCCTCCTGGCAACTTCGGGAGACCAGAGCGGGGGATCCCGAAGATCAAACCTGGGGTTGGCTATGTGCAAGCCCTACCCAGTGCATTACCCCGCCAGGCCCCAGGAAGCATCGTCACCTGTTTGACCGGTGGTCTGCTGAGAGGTCGAGCACAGCACGGGCGCGTCTGGAGGAAGGATAAAAAGTCCATCCAGAATGCCATCGATCTCGGCCTGCAGGCTGGGCTCCACATTACCTCGGAGTCTAGATAAGAACTCAACGGCACCAAGCTCCACCAGGTGCTGGACTGCTGCCGGGTACTGAAACGAGAAAAGGACCTGGAGAGTAACTGTGAGGACCACGGCACGGAGGCTTTCTCTCCCCACACCGCCTCAAGTCGGGGGACACGAGATGCTTCTTCCTTAAAAACGTCGATTTTGTTCTCGTGGGGGAATACCCTGCCACAGAGGCAGGATGGGACGGGGGGGGGGGGGGGGAGATGAGGGTGGGGGGGGATGCTGGGACCCATGGGGATGGATGACGGGCACTGGTGGAGGGATGGGCACTTGATCATTGTATAACTGAAACCAAAGCACAAAATTTGTAAGCCTATAACTGTACCTCATGGTTTTTCACTAATAAAAAAAGAAAAAAAAATAAATAAATAAAATTAACTTGTTTAAAAAAAATTAAATTAAAAAATAAATAAATAAATAAAATTGCTGCTAATTGCAAAAAAAAAAAAACATCGATTTTGCATTGAAATCATGCAAAGCAGTGACTTTCCCAGCTTGGCATCTGTGGGAAAGGAAACAGGACAGAACTTCACAGCCCACTAATGTCAGGATAAAAGCGGTGATGTCCCTTACGTGGATTCACAGCACCGTGACCGCTGCCCACAGCCACGCCATGTGCCCAGGGTTACTGCATGCAGGGCAGCGGGAACGCTGGTCCTTTTCCCCTTTTTTCTTCTCAGGAGCGCCCGAGGTGAGGCAAAGGGCATACCCTACCAACCAGATCGACGGTTCAAAGCGACGTCCCAGTGGTTCTGGGGGTCCCAGGGCCACATGCAGAGGCACTGGGGGTCCGGCTGGGCGCTGCCTGTCTAGCACTGGGGTGCAGCGTCAGGAACGCGGGCAGGGCTGGAAGGCTACCCTGGCCCTCCCTGCCCTCGGCAACTGCCCAAGAGCGCAGATTCCTCGGTGGCACCCGGCCGCAGACGGCCCACGCAGGCCACTACCCGGAGGGCTGACATGACATGAGAAAATACACACGCAACAGAGATTCATGGGTAAGACACCTGATGGCACAGGACAGGCAAGAGCAGACAGCAGCGATGAGAATGCACACTGCCAGGCCCAGAGGGACGGCCCGCTAGAGGCACTTACTCTGCATGTGGCCAACCTCCGTCCAGTCCCTGGAGCACTGTCAGGAGAGAAGCCCTGAGAACAGAGGCAGAAGTAGCCTCCGAGCACCAGCGGGCGTGTCCCAAAAACCAATCAAATGAAAAGAAATTCACGCCTTCTGGCAGTGCACAGTTTGTGGAACTGGGGACGCACCCAGGACGCACCCAGGGTGGGCTGTGAGCAGGACAAGCACGTAAAGCCCGGACTGACTCTCTGGCCTACACACATTGATGAACGAAACCGTTCGTTAAAAATCAAGTTTTGCTTTTTGCAAAAATAAAATGTTAAAAAATGACGAAAGAAGCAAGGAGCAAAAAAAAAACAAATTCCACACTCTAGGATGGAAGACTTTTTAAAAGAAGATACACACACAGCATGAATCCCTACTTGAGTTGGGTAACATGGGGTTACTTCTGCCCGCTGACAGCCAGGAACGCTATGGGCCTGGGGCCCAGCGTCTAAGAATCCCCACCTCTGAAGTGACCTGTAATTTTTCGAAGGTTCAGCTTGTCTAAGGATGTTTGACTCAACCGATCTAAGGGCCCTGTACACAGAGGAACATAAATCTAAAAAAAAGCCAATGAGGGGACGGAGACGCAATTTCAGGACCTGGTTGTGTAAAGTGAGCTCCAAAGTTTTTTTCTCACAGTCCCCTCCAACGTTTAACCCCATGTTCAACAGAATCACAAAAGTTAAAATCCAAGAAGACAGGTGGGGAGGGAGGAAGGCCTTTGCCTTGCAGGAGGCCAACGTGGGTTCTATTCCCAGCACCCCATAGGGTCCCCCGAGCACCGCCAGGAGTGATTCCTGAGTGCATGAGCCAGGAGTAACCCCAGTGAGTGCATCGCCGGGTGTGACCCAAAAAAGCAAAAAAAAAAAAAAAAAAAGGAGGAGACCGGAGAAACGACTCCAGGGTCTGAGCCCGGCTGGGCAAGCTGGCCAGCGCGGGGAGGTGGCCCCAGCCCGGCTGGGTGTGGCCCAAACCGACAGCGACACAAACACCCCAGCCGTAGAACGCAACACACACACACACACACACACGAACACCCCAGAATCCCCCTAAGTCCCAAGTTCGCATCACAACCAACAGGTACAAAAGAAGAGAGCCCCGCGGGGTGCGGGGGGAGGGCGCTTGGCTCTTGCACGCCCGCGGCCCGGGTTCGATCCCCGGCTCGGCTCCTCCGCGCAGAGGCAGGAGCTGGCCGACCCCTGAGCACCGCCGCAGGGGGGTCCCCCGCCGCCCCCCGCGCGCCCACCTGCACCAGGCGGCGCAGCAGGCGCAGCGCGTCGGCGGGCAGCGGCGCGCTGGGGAAGGTGAACCAGCGCAGCAGGAGCGCCAGGAGCCGCCGGTCCCGCGCCAGGTCCCCGGGGCTCGCCAGGCCGCGCTCCAGCTTGCACAGGACGCTCCGGAGCGCGCGCGCGCGGATCTCCGCCAGCCGGTGGCCTGCGGGGCGGGCGGGGAAACAGAGGCTCGGCGCGCGCCCGGGAGCGCCCCCCGCGCCCCCCGCGCCCCCGCCCCGGGACCCCCGCGCCGCACGCGCCGGCCGGCCGCCCCCGGGGCCGTGCAGCGGGAGCCCCCGTGCACGGCCGCGCCTCACCCAGCTTCGCGATCAGCCCGCTCGGGACCATCGCGGCCCGCCCGCCGCCGCCGCCGCCGCCGCCGCCGGAGAATTAAACGGCCGCGCCACGCCGCGCGCTCCCGACCGCGGGCCCCCCCCGGAAACGCGGACTCCGCGCGCCGCACGTTCCGGCCCGGCGCCCGAGTAGGCGCCCGCGGTTCGGGAGACGGGGGTCGGGTGGGTGGGTGGGGGTGGGGGTGGCGGTGGCTTCGAGCTGCGCCGCACACGCCGACGGTCGGGCTGGAGTCCCCGCCCCGCCGTGTCGGGACGGCGGGCTCCGCCGGCAGCACCGGAAAGGAGGCGGGGGAGCGGGAATCGTGCCGGACGCGCCGCGGTGCATCTCGGGAGTTGTAGTCCGCGCCTTCCCCCCCCCCCTCGCGGTGCTTCCACCCCCCAGCCCGAGGGCCCGGCCCGCCCCGGCGCCAGCCGATCCGGGTTCCCGGCTCTCCCGCCGCAGGACTGCGCCCCGGGGTGGGGGCTGCGTGAGTTGCCTTGCGCCGGCTGCCCTGAGGTTGCAACGCGCCCACAACGCTGTTTGGGATCCCGGGAGGTGCATCTGCAAAAGGAAGGCCGCGTCCTTGGAGACCGACTCAGGCTAACGGGCGATTCGCGTAGAGCGACTCCGGCTGGCCGAGACGGCGGCGCTCAGACTCCAGACTGGGGAGAAAGGGGGCAGGAGGCACCACCAGGGGCGCGGTGGGCATCCAGCGGGGTGCCAGGTGGGTATGTGCATGCCCCCGGAGCCCGCTTCTGCAACTTCTTCTGCAAGCCGGGCCGGGAAGAGAAGGGGAGGAAACGCTCGGCCACCCGGGGAGCAGCAAGCCCAGTATGAAACGTTTGCACAGTGAGGGTTGGAAATGATCACTCTGGGCGACAACTGGGTGCTGGTGACCTGGTTTGACCTCTACTGCAAACCAGGAAGTTCAAAAGGAGAGAGACGGAGATAGAGACAGACAGACAGACAAAGAGACAGAGACAAACAGAGAGGCAGGCTGGGGGTAGGGTGTCAGGAGGGAAGCTGGGGACTTTGGTGCTGGGAAATGTGCACTGGTGAAGGGACGGGTGTTGGAACATTGTATCACTGAAACCCAACGGGGAAACAACTTTGTAACTATGTATCTCGGTGATTCCATTTTTTAAAAATCAAATTAAATGTTTGCAGTTCCCAGTGGAGCTCCATGCTGTTCGCAGTTGCCTTGGGAAACCGGGTCAGGGTGGCTGTTAATATTGCCAGGAAACGTGTGTGGTACCCCAGCAGGGGTGCGGTGGGGGCAGCGGACCCTGAGTGGGTGACCGGGTGGGCTGCGTGCTGCTGGACGTAGGCAAGTTTGTGTGCAAACGGGCAGAGGGGGGTGGCAGCACACGGAACTCCCCACCAAGCGGCACCCCCACCCGCCCCTGGCGACCTCTGTCAAAGGGTTCCGTGCAGGGGAAGGACGGTCTGACGGCTGCCCCTGAGCCCTGGGGACCCCCATACTGGGCACAGGACCCCAGGCTCACCCACTCTCTGGGCTTTGCTGTTGCTGTTTGGGTTTGGTTTGGAGGCAACACTTGGCGGTGCTCGGAGATTACCAGGCTCGGTGCTCGCAATTCCTCCTGGCAGGCTCAGGGGACCATGGGGTTCTGGGGCTCGAACCCTGGTCAGCCTGTGCAAGGCAAGCGCCCTGCCCACCGTACTATCACTCCGGCCCCAGTTTTTTTTTTTTTTTCAAAAAACTGTATCACTTATTGTGGGGCCACATCTGGAGGGCGGTGCTGGAGGCAGAAGCCAGGATTTGGCCACTTGAACCACAGCCCTGCACCCCTACAAAAGTTGTATGGCTGGACTGGAAGGATTAGATCGAAATAAATGCACCGACAGGCCTGGGTTAGATTCCCCAGATACACATGGTACCCAGGGCCCTGCAGGAGTAAGGCCTGAGCCCCCAGCGGTAGAGAAGGAGAAGATGAAACGGGGGTGAATCTTTTCTAGTTTAATGTCACAGCTGAGCGCATCCTGGTGGTTACATCCAAAGAGAAGCCATTAGTTCTCATCTACCTTGAACAGGCACAAATTGTCCTTCTGGTGTTAACCATGTAAAAGGAATTACCGTGTCGCCAGCCTGAAGTTGCCCAGAACATCGAGAAATCCTCTGAGTTGTGCAAAGTCAGCTCGGCCACTCGCTGGGTTACCAGCAGAACCTCAGAGAAGGCTGCAGGCCTAAGGGAGGAGACACTTGAGCGGGAATAAAGGGCTGTGACAGAAAATGAAAGACAGCCCCCCACCACCACCACTCTGCCCCCCCCACCCCCCGCTCCACACACACACAGAAATTCAGAGCTCAGCACCCAGCAACACTCTCTCCAGCAGAGAGCCACAGGCTGGAGCAGTTGTGGGAAGGAAAACAACACTGCAAAGGCAAGCAATGTATAATCCGTCGGGGTCACCTTCATCGCAATGTGGGGTGCATAATTCCTTGCTTTTCTTCTATGAGGTACCCCCGGTACTCTGCCCTTAGGGAAGCCTTATTCTCTCTGGAAATGGCTGTTACGTCCCCATAATCTATAAATAAAACTAGTTTACTTCACTTTTTGTCTCCTGAAAGTGTGTCTGTGTGTGTGTGTGTGTGTGTGTGTTGTGAGAGCAAAGTAGTTTTGCATTGAAAGCATAAGTGCTTCCCAGGAGGATTACTCCATAACTTAGAGGCCAGCCGGGTATTCTAGGGGAAAGGGCAGCTCAGATAGAGAAGGGAGCACCAAATAAAGGGTGCTTGGAGGATCCTCCCAGGATAGGAGATGCATGTTGAAAGTAGACTATGGACCGAACATGATTGCCACTCAGTGCCTCTTTTGCAGACCACAACACCCAAAAGGAGAAAGAGAACAAAAGAAAATGCCCTGCCACAGAGGCAGGGGGGGATGGGGGGATGGGGGGGATATTATCCATGGTGGTGGAAAATGGGCACTGGTGGAGGGATGGGTATCTGATCATTGTATAATCAAAACCCAAGCACAAAAAATTGTAAATCTACAACTGTACCTCATGGTGTTTCACTAATAAAAAAATTTTTAAAAAAGCATAAGTGCTTCAATGCCTCTTTTGCAGACCACAACACCCAAAAGGAGAGAGAGAACAAAATGGAATGCCCTGCCACAGAGGAAGGGTGGGATGGGGGGAATGAATGGAGGTGGGAGAGATATTACCCATGGTGGTGGAAAATGGGCACTGGTGGAGGGATGGGTGTTTGATCATTGTATAATGGAAACCCAAGCACAAAAATTTGTAAATCTACAACTGTACCTCATGGTGTTTCACTAATAAAAAAAGAAAAGAAAAGAAAAGAAAGCATAAGTGCTAAACAGAAGTGTCCACCTATTTTGGGTGGACCTAAAGGGTCAAACCAGTCCACACTCCTCAGGGTCCCCAGGACAGGAAACATTCTGTGTGTCTTCTGGAAGAGTTCTCTGGCCCCCAAAATAAGGAGCATGCTTTAAACAAAATTCTGATATCTCTTTTTAAATCCACAAACTGATGGATTCCTGATCAGGCCTCGCATAACTTTGTCCTATAAACTTACATAAGATTTCTTTCTTCAGGGCCTTGTCCAATTCAGCCTGGTCCTTTCAATACCAGAATAGAAAGTTCCCGCATAGCTGATGCCATTGTAAGGTGGTAGGATTGAAACACTCCGGTTCCAAATCAAAGAACAACATGAATTGGAACTCTGCGGAGTCTGCGCAGTTGAGTAAACTGGAGCCTTGATGATAGGTGTGGGGAAGCAGAAAGGTTGTTCGCTGCCCCCCCCCCCCCCCCCCCCCCCCCCCCCGTCTCCATCTGGCCCACATCATCCAGGAAGTTTTTTCCAGGTTATTGGCAAGAAAGAAAAGGCTTCCGGTTTAGAAAGGGAAAGTTTCTACTTTCAAGGGAGAAACGACTAAGGAAATTGCAAAGAGACAATCACAGGGGGGGGCATTCACGCACGTACAGAGTCCGAGAGCAACTCTTTATCCAGGGGAGCAATCAGATTCCCACACCCTGCATCCCGGGGGAAGGGGGTCCCGTGGTAAGTGGCACCCCCTCAGCCCAGCTTCCGCATTACAAAGCATTGCACGGCTCCAGCCAAATGCATTCGCTCATCCGAGGTTCAGAAAGTTGCTTGGCACTCAGCCCTTCGAGGGACTGGTGGTCCTGGGTGCTGGCTGAATCTGGAATCTGGAAAGAAAATATTAATTCCAATTAGTTCTCTGAAATGTGTGTTCACATAATGTTCAGACAAAATTGTGTTGCCTCAATTTTGAAGTTGGCGCCAAGGTGGAAGATCAATTAAAGAACATCAACTCACGTCGAAACAAAACGTCCTTTGTTTGGGGCGGGAACGATAGCACAATGGGTAGGGCATTTGCCTTGCACCGGGCCGACCCGGGTTTGATTCCCAGCAACCCATAGGGTTCCCTGAGCACCGCCAGGAGTAATTCCTGAGTGCAGAGCCAGGAGTAACCCCTGTGCATTGCCGGTGTGACCCAAAAATTTTTTAAAAAGTCCTTTGTTTGGTTTTGTTCTGTAACCCCACCCCACTCCCCTTAATTTGCACGTGCCCGCGCGCACACACACACACACACAAGTTTATGGTGTTCTTGGTGGTTGCACCGTTCAGTCCTGGTTGTGCTCACCAGGGGGCGCTGTGGTGCTGTTGCTGTGACTCGTGGCCTTGCGCGGACTGTCCACCGCTTTCCTCTTCGCTCACCTGGGTCAGCAGGGAAGGGGCCGGGAGGGTGAGAGCTGGGAGCGTTTCTGGGTAGCTGCTCAGCACAGACCTTACGTCTCACCAGCCCCACGGACAGTCATCCACCTGCACCTGGCCCCACTTGATTGATTATTGATTACTGATCAATTATTCAAGGCATGGGGACTCATCCAGGCCGCCCCATTTCTTGGGGAGCCATGGAACTCAGGCTGGACCCGGGGATTGCTCTTTGCAGGAAATGGGAAGTTTCGTTCTAGCCGCTCCTCACATTCCTGCCCTCACAGGAGGGAATTTCAGGAGAGGACGAAGAGTGAAGCAAGATAATTTGGCAAAGATGAGGAGAGAGTCCTGTGCTGAGA